GCTCGTCAAAAGGTTAACGAATACAGTAACTTACTAGTCTCTACGCGATGAATTTATTTTTTCTTTCCAAGACACTATTAATTTTAGGTTTAGCTACTAAAGAATCATTATCAAATATCATTAACTATGCGGAGTTCTTGTCTCCTAACTTGTGCTACTACAGAATAATTGTCCCCCTCATGTTAGGTAGTGTAGAGTACGATCCCGCAAACAAAAATTCCTACGTTCCCATAACCATCGGAGATTTATCATCGTTCAATATACATCTTGATGTTACAACAAACAAAGGATGGCGATGCGAAATCTTAATATTTTTGGATGGATTGGATCCTCCAATAAATGAGGCGTTAAGGAAATGTATTGATTTTCAACTTACAAAAATCAAAACACCCCAAAGGAGATACAATTGGGAAGGGGAGATGTATACCGACCAAAACTTGATCAAAGTCGTCATAACCTTACCATCTTCAAAAATTATAACAACTATAAGTAAATTAGATCGTCTATTTCGTCACTTAAAAACAAATTTAAACCATATTTGTTTGCCGTATTTCTCCCAAACCCAACAACAGTAAGCAATTACTATAATTGCCAAAAACGCGGCGCTTACATCCCCTTTGAATGTGTGGAATCAGGGAAACCACTAAATTTGGAAAGCGATCATTTTCAACCCGAAGAAGCAGGATGGTCGAAAAGATCTTTTCCGAGTGAACGTTTGGCTCAGAAAACATTAACAAAAATGGTCCCCAGCTCTATTAAAGATGCAGTGGGATATATGTTCCTCATGTTTTTGGAGATGAGAAATTTAACCATTTTAAATTTAGGATACGAAGCACCTGAAGGAGGGTTTCAGGTTGGGGAGCGTTACTTGTATCAGCACACCCAGTTCATTCTGGTGGGTCATCGAACCCATACCTTTCTGTCGTGTTGTGTGAAGTCTAGAATCGGGCTGAATTTATACCATGAGCCATTCAACCTGGCCATTTGGTCCCTTCTTCTAGCATCAATGGGATTGTTGATTGTGACGACTTATCTTTACACAAAGATTAAGGGGTAAGTTGTTTTATTTCAAAAAATAGTATATCACATAGTAAGCCACAAGCATTTTTACGCAAAAACCTTATATACTTACTCATAATTTTATGAGTTGATCTCTTATTGATAATATTACGTATATAAATGGCGTATTTCAGGTACACATCATGCATCGTAACTAATCTATTAGTGTACCTTGGCCCATTAATTGAAGAACCCAGCAGCGTAACAAGGTCGCAGTCACGTTGTCTCCCGTTCTGGATACAATATACACCTTGGAGCTTCGTTTGCCTGTTGATGAGTATGTGCTATAATGGGATCCTAATGGAAAACATGAGTTCCTTGAAGCCCGGAAAATATGACAGTTTAATGGATATATATTGTTCGGTGAAAATGAATGTTAGCCGAAAGCAAGTCTTGCAAAAACAATCTGACCTAGGTAAATACTACTGGGCACGGGGCACGATTAAGTACCCTCCAGTTTCGTCGTACAATTACACAGACTGCTTCAGTATCCTTTCCCCCTTAGGGGTGTCATACACCAAAGTCATCCCGTACAGCATTACCTCATATGTTCTGTTTGAAATTGCACAGCAAATTTTACTTGATATAGGATACATTTCTCTTTCTTCAGGAGATGTGAATAAGGTTGTTAGCATATTCTACAACTTGATGCATCCCCAGTCGAGGTACTTTCCTAAGAGATATTTAACTGATTATGTCTCTCATTTTGACGCTGAAAGGACGAATTATGAGATAACTTCAGAGATAGATAAAGAATTGGCCCAATGTGGTAGAAGCGTATTCTTTGAGAGCGAAGAGGCTGTTATTTCTTACTGGAAGAGGTTGAAAAGGCGGTACCCAAACACAGAATGGTACCTAGGGAAGGAAAGGTTCCTACGGAGACAGTACTACTTGAAATTTGAAAGGGTCCCAGCCTCATCGAAGATTCCAAACATGTTCAAGACCGCCTTTGAATGGGGCTTGTATTCTTTGTTACAAAGTTATGCGAATCATAATAATTTTACTAAGAGCAGTAAATGGTATGACAAAAATGTGAATGATGAATAAACAGGAAAAATGTCACAAATGATCTTAGTGAAAATAAGGTCAATGCTAATTCCATCGGGCTTGGAAATGGGTTAGATAAACTTTTCTTGTTGCTAGGATTTATGTTTGTAGTGGCCGTGGGGATTTTGCTGGGAGAGGTTTCTTCTAGAGTAAAATTTTGGAAGGCGTTAGTGTATTGCTTGTGCGATGGCAGCAAGTATGTGGTCGGCAACATTTATTTGTAGTTAGATTGTAGAGGTCTATGCACATATCTGTGTATTAGAATAAACCTATATAGGAGCTTTGAAGATACAAAATTTCACAATCTTTAATCAGAAGGCATTAACAACCTCTGCACCAAATTTCACCTTGATTAGATGATTTTGAAAAATCGGTATGGATGACCTTATAGGGTCCCTCCAAACGAAAATGTTTCAAATTTTACTTTATATTCTTCTATTAGGAACCATTAGCTACTCCCATACCAAATTTCAGCCTTCTATGACTATTTTGAATATTATGTCTTTTGACCCACACCGACTAAAATGACCCCCACCGGTCAACCACTTGACCGATTTGGCTCATCTTCGAACTTGATTCCTAATTTTGCATGTTCTAAGTGTGTGCCAAATTTCAAGTCGATAAAATAAGTTTTAGGAGAGTTATCGCAAGACAGACGGACAACACGGGTACATAAGCCCTGGGTCGGGCTAAAAAGTAAATTAAATTATTTATTTATCTATCCTGTCTCACCCCTGAGATCTCAAACCATTTATTAATTTTCTAAGTTGAACAAGTAGAATATGAATAAAGCTCCATATTCGATTAAAATTCGTTGGTACATATCCCAATCTATTTGTTTTAGAAATATATATATATTGCATAATTTTTGTGCTTCCTTCTATATAATTTTCTGAATGTTTAATATTTTTCATTTTCATGAATAACAAAATATTGCTACGCACTCCTGTACTCTTATGGAAGATTCAAATTTCATTTTTAGTTAATTACGCTGAAGTTTAAGCGAACTTCGATCTGATGGGCGATATCCGAATTTGATCAACCTCGTGTACGTATATATTGATTGGTTTCATTGGGAAAAATATTCATTCTCTAGAATTTTATAAGGTAACTTCCTTTTGTGGAAGCTTCGAAACTTGGCAACATCAAAATTTTAGGCTTAAAGTGTGTTCCTGTAAATATGAAGACTCGGCCAAATAATCCACTTAAGGAAACCCTTGAGGCGTTTAATTCTAGATTTCTGGCCAGCAAGATGCCATGTCAGATCGATTCGTCAACTTGGGAGTTGTCCCTGCATAAGCCTCCACTCTATAAGTGTCTCATACCCACGGGTGTATTTTCATTGGTTACCGTAATTAGTGCCGCTTTTGCCCTCAAGAAAATGACGAATTCCTTAAATTTGTCTGATATTGCGTCCCTAGAAATTGAACTTGTTTTGCCACTCTTGATATCTGTGGTAATTTGCGGTGCGCCATCTGTTGGTCTGTTAATCAATGCTCTCTACCTATATTGGGGGAGTGAATACGTTTTCGCGTGGAATAATTTGTTGGCAGTGCGGGATCGTCTGTACAAAAGTAAGGGAGTTAAGTTTATTTTAAAATTAAGAAACTTGTACTTGCTGCTAAATACTTACAAATTTTATGATAAAAGTGATGTTAAAATGTACGTAAGATTCGCTAAAAACAAAAAATGATTCGAGAACCTGATATCTGTGGATTAGCAGGCTAAGCTTTGTATTTCTTAAATATTAAACTTATTCTAAATTTTTCCATAGACCTGGCGTCGCACTCAACTCCCAATGTCACCCGAATTAGCAAACTCTTTAACGTGATATCTACTCTCGTCTACTTCGATACATATGTTATAGCTGCTGGCATAACTTTGTCAAATTTGGACCCATTCGTCATCCTATTTGATGAGTACATTCCTCCATCAATGAAAGAAACTGTTTTCGGTTTCCTGATCCTTCTTGCTGTACGATTTCTCATTGGAGCTGCATGTGTGATGGAACTAACAATGGTTATGATGTTTAACGCGATGGTTCTGACTGTCTTGTTCGCCTCTCTGTTGGACGATATGCTGCATTTCGACACCAAATTAAAGAACTTTCCCGATATTAAGCAAACCTTGGCGGCGTTTAAATATTTTTCCCGGGTGAACATTATTTTCCATGAAGTGTGCCCTAAATTAGAGCAATTTTTCTTCATAGGTCTCGTCTTCTTTACGGTATTGATAGCCTTTTATAATTATGTTAATATCAAGATGATCCATCTGTTCCCGTTGAAACTAGCCTGGCTTTTTCCGTTCTCCTCAATAGTTTTGATACTCTTCGCAGAGCTATTAGTTTCACTAGGTTCAAATATTTTTGAAGAATCAACAAACGTTAAGGGTCTTTCGGCGAGGGTTGTCCGCTGGCATGCAAAAGATTTGTGCAAGAGGAAACTGAAGTATTGTAAACTAAAATGTGAGGCGTCGCAACCTTTATTCTTTTCTGCGCAATTTTTAGGATGTAAGTTAGTTGTGTTTACAAAATCAACCAAGTCTACGTTTACGGAGGGTTTGAGGGATACTACGATCGATGCGTTGCTAACCTTTTGAGATGGGTATACAGATAATTGATTACATTATAATAGTCAAGCTGGAAAGTTGAGTTGTATCGGATTATTATTTGTACCAATATTATTTGTACCAATCAATGTCACCCCGACTTTTAATCCCCATTCTACTAAGTAATGTGTATAATGTGTAAATAAACCATTAGTTTTTAGCATACTGGTGAAATTCAGTGCCGCAGGAAAACCGCAATCTAAACAAGGAATATCAGTATGTAGTAATAAATGTACCCACAGGCACATAATTTCTTCAATTATGCACTACTAAGTTATTTTCATTAAACATGTTCCTATAATTTCCGCTAGGACAATTTACGATAAAATTTGAACCTCTCCAATTTTCGAAATGCGGCTTCTTGTTGTCTTAAAATTTATTTATCTCAGAATAACGTTAACTCTGGGTTACAATAATTTCACTTTGATCACAACTTCCGAGTTTAAAGCTTGTCAGGATTGTCCTTGGGTTCGCAGATTTAATAGTGAGCAACTAACAAGTAACAACAAACCTCTGCTGCAATTTTCTTGCCGATCGAATTATTCTATTGATTGGGAATTTCATTATGATGAGGTATGTATATAATAACTTCCACGATATCTAATTGCAGCAAATCTAATTATTACCAGTCCAATAATTGGTTAATTAGATGATGAGAGTATTTATGATCGATGCAAATAAAATTAAGTTTTCTTTGGAAATGTTTTTATCTGTATTTTACCTTAATATTCAATGGTATCGGCAATAAATATTTACATTGAAAATATATTAATTCAAAATTGGCTTGATGGTCCAGGGTTTCCAGAAAATTTTATTTGAAACTAGTTGAAAATTAATATCACAGTGAAAATTTTAATATGCAGCTTCTACGGATAAAAAAGCTCTAATGGTTTTGACATCGACCGTAATCGATGGGACAATAATGATTCTATAAATTTGTTGGTCTTGCAGAATGACCAAGTCGAAGTTCAATTGCGAACAATGGATTATAAGAGGGAAGTCCAATCCTTCACAAATGTCTCTAGTTATTCTTATAGAATAAATGTCATCATCTATTATCCCTATCGCCTCAAATATTTTCCTAATTTCACCTGTTTCTCGACACAAAATAGTACCAAGCTGACACGACTTGTGGCCAATGGCAATAGCGATTTTTTTGAAATTTCTGCTGCCTCAACGCCAAATGGTAAGAAACGTTTGCAAAACTAACCAGAATTGTATTCAATAAATGAGTATTATTTTATCTCAGATTATTACAAATCACACTTGCCAAAAGATTCGTGTCAAGCCTGGACATATTTTGCGGTTTCACCTGCAGTTCCACACGAGGATAATATGGGGCCGTGTTATAACTGTTTTTTACATGCTAATGCAACCAGACGGGATTTGAATTATCAACTGATTCCTCTTAAGCATAATTGTGAAAAGTTTGCCTTGTGTGAGAGTATATGGCCGAACGAATTGGAGGTCGGTAGCGTATGTTTTAGCTTTCTTTAAACGACCGTAATATGACTTTCGATCATTATTTTTAGGTAGGTTGCATGTCGATTTTTGAAGGTGGTTTCGAACCACCGTGTGGAACTGGTGTTCAGGAAATTTTCTGTTTTGTAAGTACAAATGGTGTGCTAGGAACACAATTAATCATTAAGTGGACTTTATATTGATTTTTTATTTCTCAGACGTCGGATAACAAACAGTGTGTTGCGTCTAATGACCTTAAGCCATTTGTGATTTCATGTCAAAATGCTTATCAAAGTGGCGTAATAAAAGCGACGTTTGGGTTTTATGGGATTCGAAGTATGGAGCAGTTTCTCAGGGATAATTCAACACGTCCACAAATTTGTACTATATTTACAATTTTATTGATTCAGTGACTTATTTACAATTAAAATTAATTAATGCACTGTCAGACTTCAGTTTGGACCCTGCCAACCAGGAAATGCTTAACGAAATGGTGGAACTGGTCCAACAAAATGCTACAAGAGAGACATTTGTAGGACAGGATGTGGTATTTCGGTGCAGGGTGACCTCTATCTATTGCGGTTATCCGTTGTGGATTAGTGTTATTTATGAAGAAGGGGAACCACTTTATGCGGAAATGCCGTATAATTTGAACAGCAGCCTAAACCATGGCGAAATTTATAACCATAGTGAGTAATTTTTCATAATAATTAGACATTTAAATTTTTCATATAATCCAGTAATTACAAGGTGGTTAAATCCATACACAAGTTATGGGTGTATTACATACAATGAATCTTTTGCAAGGTTTGCATCTCAGAGGGCATGTTGTACACTACAGCACAATAATATTTTTTAATTACTTGCAGTAGTATCTCACGTTGCTACGAACCGCTTAAAAAACCTAAGTAAAAATTATGAGATTGAACTCATAATTTATTAGGATTTAACATGCTGCTGGGTTATATTTATTTAATAACCTAATTTCTTATTTGATGTAACAGCTTCCCCGCACTATCCAGGAAATGTTGGATGGTATTACGAATCCCTGTACAAATTTTTGGTTTTAAAATCCGGGGAGTTCACGATCACTTGCCATTGCCCCATATTTAATTCTTCAGGATGGATTAACGCAACAGAAACTGTGAATGCGCAGAATGGTGGGACGTTTTTAGGAGTTAGTTTTGAATACTGGATAAAATATCCAAGGATTTTTTAAATTTATAAATAGTTGAAGCCCTGCAAATAATATCGTTGTCGCAAGATAGTTCCGAACCCTTTAGAGTGGGAGATAGAAACCGATTTCTAGAATGCAAGTTTAAAGGCCGCCCAATATCTTATGTACGATGGGAAATTGATAGGCAACCACTACCGGAAGGAATTTATGTGGAAGTATTTTTGAAATCGGAAAATAAAAGCGTTTTGCGAATTCCTGAAGTGTATCAATCCATGACAGGAGCTTACATGTGTAAGGTGGAGTCTATATTTGAGAAAGTAGAAGCCCAGTTGAATTTGGAGGTCGAAGGTAATTTTTCAGGTATGGTGTGTTTGTCTTGGTATCAAATTTACAATTGATTTGTAGAGAACATTTCATCTACTTGGCTTACTGTGGGAGTAATTTCACTAATTGGACTAGCCATAATTTCCGGTTTGGTAACGTTACACTTCTGGAGGATTAATAAGTTTAAGCAAGCGTTGGTTAGAAATTTGACCGAGGACGAGATAAAAGCGTTTAATGAGGGGAATCCTATTTTTATTGGGGAAAATGGGAAACATGAGGTTGCAAATAATGCAATCCAAATGCAGCCGTACGATGAAAGATTTGAAATATCGATGGATAAAATTCAAATAGGTTTGTGCATTTTCTAAAAAAAATTACATTTTTAATTCACGCTTTTCTCGCAGATAACGGGACTATCTTGGGTGCCGGAGCGTTTGGCATGGTTGTGAAGGGAAAACGGATAAACGGCAATGGCTCTCATGATTATCAAAATACTTCCAATTCCAATACTGCCGTGGCAGTAAAAATGGTGAAACCGGATGTTGAAGTAGAACATTTTAAAGCCCTTTTGTCGGAAATAAAAATAATGGCTTATCTTGGAGATCATAAGCATCTAGTAAAGTTTCATTGCGCTTGCACAGAAAGTATTCAAAGTCGTAAGTGGAATTTGCTGTTACTGCGTTTTGTAATTGGTTATATTAAATTATCATTTTCTTTTATAGGAAAAGTTTACATTGTTGTGGAATTGTGCAGTACGGGAGATTAGAAAGGGACGAGAAAGAACTACCACCATTTTCTAGTCTGTCCTTATTTAGGTGGAGTTCTGAAATAGCGCGTGGATTGGACTATGTCCACTCGAAGAATGTTATCCATGGTGACCTTGCGATAAGAAATGTCCTCTTGACGGAAACCTTGACTGCTAAGATATCCGATTTTGGTCTTTCCAGACTGTTGGTGAATTCCTCAAATTATGTCAAAAAATCACAGGTAAAAATATGAAGCAGCTGTCAACGCCGACTAACTTGGCGCCAGTTTTCGTAAACTTTCGGCGCGGGGTAGCAATGTTAAAGAAATACCATTTATCGACGGCGCCTAAAATTGTACCAGCGTTTGACGGCGCGGCTGCGTACGATATGCAGCTTTGACGTCTGATATAACATTGCGAACTACTAGAAGCAGTATTGTATATATTTATTACTTTTATAGGTACCTCTGCCTTGGCGCCACATGTCGCCAGAAACACTGCGGGATAAAAACTTTTCAACAAGCTCAGACATTTGGGCTTTAGGAGTAACCTTGTGGGAAATATTTGAGCTTTGTTAGGTATATGTATGCCTACGTAGATATGCATATGTAATTAGTTATGAATCTGTACATCACTCCATCTTTAACTCTCCACTAATAAATACTCTCCTCTGTCTCCTCTCACTGTGTACCACTTATTTATGTATAATCATATATACATAACATTGGTGGACCGTCGAGTACTTTCTTTGGCTCCTCCCACTCACAATGGATTTTAAAATTTTCAAAATTCTTCGCAAGACATATCACCTACCAAATTTGCTACGACTGCGACGACTAAGCAGCTTGACCACCGCCCCTTAGAGCTTGTCATTTTGCTTCCGATAGGGAAATTTCCCAAATCTCTCTTCTCAAAACCTTGCGTAAACTGTGTGATTTTCCTGTGAAACTTTTTTGTGAATTTTCGTCATCTGGTCTGTAAATTGGATTATCCTCCCGGATGCTATCAGGTCTGTAAATTGGTTCTAAACCACCCTGAATATATTCCCCCATTCTTAAAATTTCCAAATCTCCAGTCCAAAATTTAGATTTCATAATTCGAGCAAATATGCTAAATTCAAAATTCCGTTATTTGTTTTAAACACGTCAAAAAATATATGCAAAATTGTCCTTCAAAATTGTAAAAAAATCGTAAAAGAAATGTAAAAAATTCCTTTTAATTTCTGAAAAATTTTCATCAAAATTCGTTCAAAATTTGCAAAACTTCTGCAAAATATATGCAAAAAACTCATTTTTATTCATTTCGTCTGGAAAATTGTCCCAATTTATCAAATTTTGCTGCAAAAATGTAATCTGATTCACCTTGTCTCAAAATTCTGCTGAACTTTTATGCTCGATCTGCGTTGTCACCACTTTCCCAGGCTCAGAATGAAATATAACGCTGAGATTAATGTTTGTAATGAGCAACGTCTACATATTATTTGCGTGTTCAAGTATGGAAATCCACATTGTACATAGTTCCCCTTTTTTAACGAGTCACGGTTATGGGTCACCCACACAAAACCCTGCGTCTTCGAGTTGTCCGGTTATGGGTCACCCCGACAAAACCCTCACAAGTCTGCGTATTTATGTATCTCCGATGTCCCGATGGACCACATACCACGACCACAAAAATGTATTTTTCTTTGTTTATCGTTTTGTCCCAATCTGCAAGTTTTATATGAGTCAACCACCACCACCACGCCTGAGATGACACAATTCTACCACCGATTGCGAGCCATACCATCTTCTCAAGTTCCAGCCCTGCAAATTTACTGCGTCATTCGATATGTGTATTAAATTGTTCAATGTTATTCATGCAAAAATCTTTGTTCATGTTTATTTTTCGGAGTCATTTCGTATTTCATTTTCCATTTTTCCGTGAATCCTAAATATGTATGTATGTATGTCCAACAAAAATTCAAATTTCTCACTAAAATTGCCAAAAAAATTGCTGAAATTTTTAGTTTGCAGACCTACACACTCTTTCAGACTATTTTTCAGGAGAAAAATTTTTTCGTGAGAGGGTAGTGTTAGGTATATGTATGCCTACGTAGATATGCATATGTAATTAGTTATGAATCTGTACATCACCCCATCTTTGACTCTCCACTAATAAATACTCTCCTCTGTCTCCTCTCACTGTGTACCACTTATTTATGTATAATCATATATACATAACAGCTTGGTCATGTTCCTTATCCAGGAGAGACATGGGGACACTCTTTCCTGCATAGAATTATGTCTGGGGAGAGATTGATAAAGCCAAAATATGCTACAAATGAACTGTAAAAAGGAAATAGAAGTTAGTCTACTTAAAATTATTACAAAATTTTAAAAATCCGCTCAAAATCTGTTTTAGGTACGAATTCATGTTGCACTCTTGGGAGTTACAGCCGGAACAGAGACCACGTGCAAATTATCTCAACACCCTTATGAACGGATTTGAAACAGCAAAGAATAATTAGTAGAATTTTATCAAATATCTCGACTATAAAAACCTAGCCTATAATGTGGACAAAATTATATTTTTTTCAAAATTCAAATTTGATTTCAATGGTTAAATCTGGTAAAAGGCGATTCGATCTAAACGTTGGAACTCAGATAACAATTCCGGCGTCTGGTTGGTGTCGATTATCATTAGCTTTTATCATTAGCTTAAATTGCGCATTAACTCGATTCCCAATTATCCTTATCCTGCAAACAATATTGTTTTGTAGTTGTTATGGGGAAAGATGTTATGGTACGTTTTTTAAAATTAGAACTATTTTTTAGTGATTAAAACTCAACACATGAAAAATTCAAATTAATACTGCTCGGTCAATTTTTAAAGGATTTCAAAAATTTAAACGGTTCTGGAAACTGTGAAGTTCCAAATTTCCAGAACCGTTTGAATTTTTGAAATCCTTCAAAAATCGACCGGGCAGTAGTAATTTGAATTTTTCATGCGTTGAGTTTTAATAACTAAACAAATAGCTCTAATTTTAAAAAACGTACCATAATGGTTTTGGGGAGATTTTATGAAATCAATTTGGGGATTACTTTGCGCATGATCACGAAGGTTATTATTTGTCAAAGGATTCTCGATGTCTGAAGTGCCCTAAGTTAATATACATAATTAGACAAATATCGGATTGTCTGGTTGCAAGTATTTTATTACGATGTGTGCACAATTTTTACTTTATTCGGGTTATAGATATATATTATCAAACAGTAAGTTGTGAATTTTGTTTCTTAATGTAATTACCCTGAATTTAATTCCATGATTAATGGCATTAATGGAATTTATTAATAAAGGGGTATTGCATTAAATTAATGCAATACCCCTTTATTAATAAATTCCATTAATAACTTACACATAATTAATAAAAGTTGATTAAATTTATTGATATATTTTGTATAGATTTCTTTAACATTATTCTTAATGATGAAAATACCAGGCACAACAAAAATCACGAAGGATGTTTCAATAATTTTTTTGACCACGCGAAGTATATTAATTTTTAGCATTAACTCGGTTAAACAATTCCCTACCGATGAATAAATTAATTGATCCCTCTAAACTGCAATTATTGTATTAAGCTCCAGGTATTTGTGATGACTAAATCCGTTCAATAAACCTTTAAGCATGCTGTTTCATCATAGATAACGGATTTATAATGGATTTTGAGCTTAAGCAATCTACATACATTTTTGATAATTCCGTCCCGTAGGCCTCCACATACAAATATTCTTTGAAATGCTCAAACCTACGTCAATGTCTGTATCATGGTTAAAAAGAAGCACAGAGCACAAAGTTTTATTCACTCATAAACCAAACTCCCTACTACGTTCATCTTGTTCAAACCTAACAACTATCATGCAGTGGATCGTATCCATTGTATTCTTTGCTGGTTGCATTTCCCTTGGCCAAGGTAAGTAAAAGATTTGACCAAAAAATATCTTAGTTTTGTCAAACTATTCACAAACCAATTCTTGCATGGATTTCGTGTTACCAATGCCTAAATTTGAGAGGTGTAACACCCGACAAACTTCCAATCGGCATAGCGTACGGCGCAGGATGAGAAGCTGACAGCCTAAGCAACGATTTCAGGGCGCCTTGTCCCTCAGAAATTGGCGTTCCGGATGCAGATGCTTGTATGTCGTTGGAAATGAAGGTTAATGGCTCGATTTCAATGATCATTCGGGAATGCGTCATCCTCAACGACGTGGGTGGTGCGGGATGTTATGCGGCTAAACAAGAAGTTTGAAACGTCATTTGGCAAATCATTAAAATTTTTGAACCATTCCTGTTCAACAATCCTTTCCTGCCCCGAGATCCTCCTGTGAATGAACCAATGAACCTCTGTGTATGTACTGGGGGAAATTGTAATGGGAATTGTGGATGCGGAAATTCTGGGGGGAAAGCGGTCATTGAGATACCGCTACATTCACAAATATGTCTTGAATATTTTTTATGGGAGATGTTAAAATTTGTTCACGTTATGGAACAATTTGAATATTTGAAATAAATAAATAATCATTTATTCAAGAAGTTGTGCCAATTTATTAGTATTGTGGTAAATGGGAATTGATTAAGGGGTTTGGCATATAATTCATTATCTTATCAATGGTAAACCTGACATTCTTTAAAATTGTACACGATATGAAACCACGGTGGGCAAGGAATAATTGACGCTTATGAAAGGAGTCTAGACAAGAAATATTTATTTAGGAAGCATAATTCATAATGGTTAATACCCTTGGTTGAGGGTATGTTTTGCATCTGCAAATGTGTTATATCTGGAATCTGCGAGGGTTTTATGCATCCTGTATATACGTGTGACGCATAAATTTATCAAACAATTATCTGCACAAAATTGAACATTTAATGGTATCCTTTACTGGTATTTTTCTTCCACGGTTTTTGATTCCAGTTCAGTGCTATTGTGTGTGTATCCAATTTTAAATGGGAAATTGGTTTGGCATACATACATTACACGACCTCATTTGATTTTTGTTGGCTTAATAAATATTTTGGTCAACCGGCAGCTAATCGTAAAGTTAAATATTTCTGATGTGACTAACTCTGTTTAGAATATATATTTGACTTGGTTCCACCCTTTTTAATTGTGTTATTTTTCAAAGTTGTAATACAAATACATAGATAGATAGATAGATAGATAGATAGATAGATAGATATATTTATGTCAAGATTGATATGGCGTCGGCCTTTACAATCACGGTTTGTAATATACTTATATTGAATGAGGTATTTGAGTCTTAGCCTAGAGTAACTCTACTTAATTCTACTTAATTCTAATTATCCTACTTAACCTAAATTATATTATTGTAACTTGTTTGATGATCTTATGGTCGCACTTCCGCTCCAGCGGAAGTGCGACCAGTGAAAGAGAGAAAGTGAAAGAGAGAAAGTTTACAAAATATTAAAATGAAAAAAAGTTTCTTCTACTAGCAGTTTCTTCTACTAGCGAGGTGCTTCCGCACCCTAGCGTGCGGATGGGAGACCAGTGAAATAAAAGCTCCACCAGGAGAAAAAGTTTTCTCTCCGAGCAGCTGCTGCTACAAGGAGCTTGCTCATTAACTAATGTAAGCCATGCACGTTATTCACTACTACTAATATCAACTTAAATGCAACGTGCAATTTGCAAAGAAAATATTCACATTTGAGAGGAGATTATTTTAAAAATAAATACTTGCAAAAGTGTGTGTGTGTGTGTGTGTGTTTGTGTGATGAAGGGTCATACAGGATGGAGATTGATATCAATAAATTGTAACAACAGCACCAAAGATAGGATGATAAATGAAGGTTTTATTTTCTGGTAAGTGTGTAGGTTACATGAAATATATGTACATATGAAAATACGCATGTTTCATTGCAAAATATTTGCAAAATTAAGCTTGGTATGCTTAGTTCATTAATTATTTTAGATTTTAGTTATGATTTTCATTATTATTTTTTCTTTCTTTTCAAGTTACATATTCCGTCTTACTGCAACATTGTGTCTTACAGCGGAAAGTGAAAGTAACTCGACCAAGAGAGAAAAGTTTCTTCCACTAGTAGCTCCAACAAGGAGCTCGCCCACCAACTAATGCAAGCATGTTCTTCAGGTACAGTTCAATATAGGAGACATTTTATGTAACAAATATTAACATTTTTGATTACATTTATTTCAGTTATTAGATTAAATATTTGGATTAAGTTTGTGCGTGTGTTTTATTTATTGAATCAAGGGTCGTGCAGGAAGGATGGTGAAATTTTAACATTAGCTGCGAAGATATTTAAGTTTAAGTAAATTTTACTTAGTTTATATTGAATATAGTAAAAATTGCTCGTTTTTATTTTCCAGAGGAGCCATATCCTTTGGCTCCACGCCGAGAAGCAACAGGTGCTGTGGTGGTAATAATTTCATCAAACGTAGACTTCTTCAACGGTCCATTATGGAGTTTTATAATCAAGAACTGAGCATCAATATCATTTCCCCTGCTTTAAGTAACGCTCCGAATTGACAGTACAAATCATAACCAGCAGATTGAGGGTGCAACTTTGTTGGAAATTTACTTTCAAAGGTCTTCCTAATAAAGTGGACCGTTCTATAGTCGTCTAGAAGGTTAATATTTATACATTTTTTATTTAAACTTCAATTGTTAGTCAAACTATTATAATTATCGACTTATTTTTATATATTTGAAATATGTAGGAAATCAACTACTACATTCAATCCATATAATGAGGAGATACCATCAAAACGGGATACCAAAAATTGTAAGGTAAAAGAAAGCTTTCTTTGGCTTGGAAAATCGAAGTCATAGCTACGTTACATGATTTAACAAATTTTAATTTTCTTTGGAGTGTTATAGGCAAGAAGTGAAAAAACTGTGTATGTCCCATTATATAATCGTTATTTGAAATAATTATAAGATCTTCCGAATTTTTATAGACGCCCTGATTAGAATCTACTTCCTCTGACCAACCAACTTGTTCAGCTTAAGAGAGGTAAAGAAAAAATAGATTTCAGTTTAATTTTGAAAGGATTTATGGGATCCAGGTAGTATAATCAGGGTCTGTGTCAATCTTTGTTTGCAGGGTATTGCAAGCTGCAACCAACGATTGAAAATATTTAAACGACAGGTTTGCCCCTGTGGTTTGATTCTTTCTGATGCAGACATAAGCCTGCCCATTTTTTCTCCAAGTTTGGAGTTTTAGCCAAAACCCCTGACCTAGCTGGCCCTCCCAATGGACAATATTTTGTCCACTAGGATCGTCACTCCTTTCCCCTTCGGGAGCAAAATTAAGCGAAATAGGACCTTTGTAAGATGATGAAGGCACATATGCTTCTCCGGAGCTGATGATGATGAGCTTGCAGGAGGAATCGTAGTACGAGCAACAGGAACAAGCGCCGTTGAAGGAGCAGGAACAGCAGAAGGCGGAACACTCTTGACTCGACCTCTCTTCTCCGCTGGGGACTTTTCTGCAATTAATAGAAATAAAAATTTAAAGCTTATGATTACAACAAATTTCCCTATTAACATTTTAAAATAATTATTGACATCTTACCCTTTTCAGCCATCTTCCTCTTGTTAGCGGCGGCAGCAGCCCTGACTGTCTTCTCTTCAGGACCAGTGTAGAACAAGCTTAACGGGTTTCGACGATCGGCATCTAGCTCCTTCTTGGAAGCAGCGTCAACCTTCTTCGCATCAGCTGCATTCTCCCTTGCTTCCCGTCGTCGTTTCTGCTCCGTATATAAATCAACTTTTTTCAGTTTAACAACTGGCTCCAGTTTCTTTGATTTGGTTGCAGGTTCTTTGCGCTTTGACTTAGGCACTGCATACAAATCATCCACGAGGTTCAGCCCTGATAGTAGAAACAATTTACAATTAAATTAAAAATGAAAAATAAGTATATGACCTAATAAATCAAATAAAATATCTTACGTTGTTGCGAATGTTCATTTGCAGGAACAAAATCAGGATCCTCCTCTGGCTCAGACGGAGAATCCTCGTCCTCTTCGTCTTCATCCTCCTCCTCATCAGTGAAAGGTCCGCTTGGTTCCTCCTCATCATCGTCTACGACGAATCCAGCGTCAAAGACTTCAGGTTGTCGATGGTGAGAAAGAAGAAAAGCTCGTGCGTTGTCAGACTCTCGACTTCCTGGCTTAGCCTCCTCTAAGATTTTTCGTGCTCTTGCCACTGCGTTTATCCCTGCTAAAATTTACGTAAATATTGGAATTTATTTAAGATTTCAGGTTTATATTTTATCAACATTTGAAAATTTTCCTAAAGCTTGTTTAGTTTCTTAAAATTATTTTATTTGTGTTTTAGGAAAACTTACCCTGAGACATTTTGGAATTTTTAAAGTTTTTATTTCTTCTTTGGAAATCCTTTGCACGTAATGTTGAAACATTGACTACCTTGCTCATTATTTTGCCAATTGTTTTTATAGTCTTAGTAATTTACAAAAAAAAATTCCAAAATAAGTACATACCGTAAAAATGTAATAACTCCCTAGGGGTTACTAATTCAATTATTTACAAAATACGGTTAATAGTGGTAAGTGGTAATTAATATTTTTTACAGTATTGGAGTTGAAGTGATGGTATGTTTTATTATATGTAAACACATTCCTGGTATTAAGATAATGACGTCACGCCGAGATATAAAAAAAGATGTTGTTATACATATTTTCTCACAAGCATTTTTTAGAATACACACTTCTTGACTTTGATTTTGGAAATTTTGGTAAGTTATTTCTTATTTATTTATTATTTTTAAATTTCCAAGTTTAAATTTATACAATTAATTCTCAAAATTTGTTTTTTTTTCTCCGTGCTTAGTGTATGAGTACTTCATTCGGAGCAACCTAATAATAGTTGAGAGATTTACATCACAAAGAAAATGGTGAGATCACTTAGACAAGAATGTGTATAAACTGTTGATAGTTACTGAGATTGTTGTTTTATTTTGGCAGGCTCCTCGTATTAAGACGACAACATTCCAATGCTTGAAATGTTTTAGGAGATTCTTAAATCGTCAGCATTTTGCGTCACATTTACTAAGGCACCGAGATGAAAACAAGAGAAAATTGTGTCAATATTGTACCATGTCATTCAGGTCGTCTAAATTGTTAGAAGTACATATGAATACTTATCATAGATGTGAATATTGTGACTTCTCAGCCAACATTTTTGATCTTATAGAGCACAATGAAGCTCATAAAAGAGGAGTTATAAAATCCATGAAATTTGATCAAAGAGGAAGAGGGCTACGACTGAATGCTTTCCCTTTCTCTGAAATTGAAGCCTTTCAAGGCTTTATGAAAACTTACAGATTTAGAAATACACATGAGGATAATAATATTATTTCTGTTAGAGATTTTTTTAATAGATTAAAGTTTAAAATTAATCAGATTCTATTTCACAATGTTTCAATTTATAATAGCATTAAGTTTCAAATAACGCTTTTGTGTAAATTTAAACGTATTCATCCAAGCGTGGATGAAGAAGAGGTAGAATTCATGGAAACAACAGAACAATATTTTAATTCTTCTCTTAAAATTATCCTCAGTCCCCTCTACATTAATAGAATCTTTTGTGACATGGTTAATGAAATCGATAATAATGTGGAAATCTTCGAACGAAATGGCAGTGGTTGGATATTAGATGAAGTGAAAGGCTGTGATATACGAACAGCTCAGTTTGAAATATTAAAGGGTGGATGTTCGTTAAAGTTTCCAACATCGTTGAAAGATATCATAGCATTCGAAAAGCGGCACAAACATATTAAAATTGGTATTAATGTGTTTGGTATTGATCAAGAAGAGCAGCTTAACGTTATACGCCTAACAGCTCATGCAAATAGCAGAACGCATAAAATCGTAAACATTCTATACATTCAGGATGCTTTTAAGCAACATGGGCATTACATGTCTATCCTGAATTTTTCTCGCCTAATCAACAGACAGGGAAACAGGGAAACATCATCGAAAATTTGTTTGCTACAATTGTTTGAATACTTTCGGAGATGAAAAGCGTCTTGATTCACATCAGCAGTTGTGTTTTGAGTTTAAAACTCAAAAGGTTTCTGTTCCTTCAGTCGTTGATGGAAAAATTCCATTCTGCTCTTTTGAGAGTAAAAAACTTAGTAATAAACTAAAGTGTAACTTTGTAATGTATGGAGATTTTGAAGCAATGCTCACAGACGATAATACCAGTACGACCTCAATAGATAAACACAAAATTTCAGGATATAATCTTGCAGTAATTGGCCCAAATAAGAAACTGGTTCATATATCGAAATATCGTGGTCCAAATAGCATTGACAAATTTATAGATGAAGTGAATCTACAAGCTAGCTTTTGCATACAAAGGAACAAAATCCATATCGCTATGAAACAACTTTCTCTAGAGGAAGAATATGATTTTTCTATGGCAGATTCCTGCCACATTTGTGAGCATGATTTTGATCACCAATCTATAAAAGTTCCAGATCATGATCACAATACTGGATTATTTAGAGGAGCTGCTCATAGAGAATGTAATGCTTCGTATATTCAAAAAGTCAAAATCCCTGTACTTATGCATAATTTTAGAAATTATGACTCTCACCTGCTGTTAAGTTCAGCAACGAAATTTGGTTCTGGGAATACGTTCGTTATCCCTCAACTCAGAAAAATTTATAGGCATTATTTGTGATAAGTTCATGTTCATAGATTCTTTCATGCATCTGCCCAAATCTTTAGATACTCTTGTAACAAACCTTCATGCAAAACCCGAAGGCTTTGATGACAAGTTTGGTATAATGATACAACATTTTTCAAAAGAACGGGCTGTAAAACTCTCAAGGAAAGGTGTCTATCCATATTCTTATTTCAGTTCTTGGGATAAATTTAAGGAAACCAAATTTCCCGATATTTCAGAGTTTTATAACACCCTCACTTGTGAAGGGATTTCACAAGAGGATTATGATTTTGGTAAGTCAGTGTTTGAAACCGAATGCACTGACCTGGGTTCGTACCACGACATATATTTAACAACAGATGTACTTCTGTTGGCATGCGTTTTTGAAAGCTACAGGGATATGGCAATTTCTAACTTTAAGCTTGACCCTTGTCACTATTTTAGTCTCCCAGGCTTCAGCTGGGATGCTGCTCTTCTGAGTACAAAAGTTAAGCTAGAACTTGTTACTGATCAAGACATGTACAATACTATAGAGTCTGGCATTAGAGGAGGAGTATCTATGATATCTCATAGATATTCTGAAGCTTACAACAAGTATATGGAAGATTATGAAGAAGGAGTCAAGGAAGACTCTTTTCTTCTTTATATTGATAAAAACAACTTGTACGGTGAGGCGCTTCAGGAGCCTTTGCCTGTTTCTGATTTTCAATGGGAAAGTCAAGAGTTCATTGATAATTTAAGTATAGATGATATTTTGGCATGGGGTGATGAGGATGAAATCGGTAGAATTTTGGTTGTCAATTTAGAATATCCCTGTGAGCTCCACCTGTTGAGCGAGCACAACGAATATTCACTAGCTCCGGAGAAAATTACAATTTCCATGAATCAACTCTCGCAGCATCAGCGGGAGCTTTTAACTTCCTATAACATTAAATATTCAGAAAAGCAGAAAAAATTAGTTCCTCATTTAGGATCTAGAAAAATGTATCCAGTGCATTATAGAAATCTCAAATATTATTTGGAGAAGGGAATGGTATTAACAAAGATTCATAAGATAATTAAATTTGTTCAAAGGCCCTGGCTTAAAGATTTTGTAAACCTTTGTTGTGATTTACGACGAAAAGCTACAAACAAATCTGAGCAAGACTTTTTCAAGCTAATAGTTAACGCAATTTTTGGACGTAGCATGATGCATGTTAGGAATCAGCAAAATGTATATATAGTTAATAGTATTGAAACAGCAAAATATTATTCCAGGCTTTCGAACTTCAGAAAATGTGAGATTCTTTCTCCAAACTTGGTACTTGTTTTCATGAGTAAACCTAGTATTGTATTGGATAAGCCAATATATACAGCGTTTTCGGTTTTAGATCTCAGCAAGTTGTTCATTATGACAAGATCAAAAAATGGTATGGAATTAAAGCCAGGTTCCTTTTTACAGATACGGACAGCTTAGCCTATCAAATTAAAACCGCTGATCTTTATGCTGATTTAAGACTGGTGAAAAATGATTTTGACTTTAGTGATTTTGACCACACTCATCCACTTTATTCTACAGAAAATAAAAAAGTGATTGGTAAAATGAAGGACGAGAGTAACGGAAAAATCATGTATAGTTTTGTGGGTGTTTCTCCAAAAATGTATTCCTTTGCAGGCAAGAATATATATAAGATTGCTATGAAAGGAGTCAAACAATCTTTAGTACGAAAACATGTAACTCATAAAGCTTTTATGGAGACTTTGTTTGAGCAAACAAAATATATGTGCAGAATGAATTTGATTCGTTCAAAGAATCATAAACTAACAACTGCAAATTATACAAAAGTAGCTTTGCATAGTTTTGATTCGAAACGTTTTATTTTACCCGATGGAATTAGTACACTTGCTCACAATCATTCTTTGATTCCTACGTACAACAAGTAAAATATTTAAAATTAACAAGTACCAATTATTTATTTAGTGAATTACTGTACAGTTTAAACATAACAATAAAATGATTACAATTACAAATATATAAATAATAAATAAAATATGTACAGTTTAAGGTTTGAAAACTTTTGTTATTCCCTTAATTTGGCATCTACAAATAGGACATAGGTCTTGGGTAGTAGAGCATGGAAAGCAGGAGCAAATGTGACAACATGGAACATGTAATTAGCTTCTTCGAGTTTACACACCGAACACAGAAATGTTTCCATCAGGCTATGAAGGAGTGTAAGAGTAGCATTTTCTTGATTTTCACCATTCTCATCCTTTGACGAATTTATTTGTTTGCATAGACTCTGTAATAAAAAAATAATAAAACAATAAAATAATTATTTTGATAAAACTGAAAATATATAAAAGCATTACAAAATTACATTATATTTTTGGTAAGTATAACTTTGGTCTAAATCCTTCGATAAAATAGTCTGCAATTTAGGTTTGTGCAAAGAGAGGAATGGACAGTCACTTGAATGAATAGAGTGTTCAATCCAGGGATCATCACTTGGCAGCCAATTATGGATTATTATTCCACAATAATAACAAGAAAGCCGATCTCCATATCCAGTAGAGTAAAATCCTGCTTCACTAAAATTTTTGGGATTTTGCTTACATTTTCCGGTCCAGTTTTTGAATGTTGCTACACGATCACTATTTAGACACATATCTTTGTTATCAATATCGTATGGTTTATAGACCAGAGTTGGAAAAGTTTCATCTTGGAGAACCATGTTTAGTATTTAAAATAAATACGGAAAACCTTATCTGATTAGAACTGAATCGCATGAGCTCTGACACTACAATGAACATATCACTAATATGTCGTACTACTTTAGCATAGTGTATTAAATTATTAAAACAATTTTTTTTACACAAACCAGACCTCAAAGTTAAGAAGGAATTTTTTTGTTGTTGTTGTTGTTCAAAAACGAATACCTCAGTCAAAAGCCATTCTATCATGTGGGAAACCATATGAAGTCTTCTGTCTTGATGTAACGTCCTTAGTGTTGCGAGGTCTTTGGGGAATTCCCGTTGGAGTACGATATGGGTCAAAGGTTTTATTCAGAGCATCATTTTGGTTTAACGGTTCCCATGCACTGAAGCTCGACAGCTTATGAGCACTGAGCGTAGCTGTTTGTTTTAGAGGAATAGAATCTAAGGTACCCATAAGATCATTTCTCACTACAGTTGAAAATAGAGCGGCAGGGACATTTAACATTTTACACACTCTCAGGAATCTGTTGATTCCGTTTGGGGATGTGGTCCATTTCAAATCTCTAATGGAGTAACTCATTAAATCCGAAATGTTAGAGTCAGGTTCAAACTCACTTCCCCAGAAAGTTACTCGTCCTTATTTATCCCATTTTATCATTTCAGGATGACACTTTAAAAACCCGAGCAAATTGTGAGCTTTATTCATTTGAGTGGTAGGAAATTCTTTCAGCATTTTTATATCTGATTCAGATAACGTGAATTTTTCAGGAGAACCAACTGGAGTAGACTCTGTGCTAGAAGGAGTTACAGGTGGAGGAGTCATTAGTGGAGATAGTATTACTTTTTCCTATGGATGATTTATCTTCACCAGAAACCATTCTAACGGAAATAGGTTTATCTAAAATGTCTTTCAACTGATTATTTACACGTTTCATTAAACTACTGTACAATTGGACTTTAATATCCTCCGGAATTAAGGATCCCAAAACTGATGTAGCTTCCTGATCCTTGTCCGTAAAAAAGTGAGTTTTAGCATGCTCCATTGTGTTGGTCTTTTTTAGAAGCTGGGAATACTCGTCTTCACTAACAACTCTCATTTTTTTCGACATTTTAATATTTAGTTTTTAAAACCCTAAGTGTGAACTAATCGCTCGTCCTGCTATCGCACCAAGAGCTGAAAGCACGGGTGTTATTAAGAATGGAAGAAAACCTCCTTTCTGTACTAAATGTTCCTTCTTGCTTTTATGTGAGTTTGACTTTTTTGATAATTCCCTGATTTGATCTTTGTGTTTGTGTAATTTCTTTCTTGTTTCCTCGTCTACTTGAAAACGACCTTCTAATATATTTACAGCAATTTCACTTAGTGCTCGTATCTCGTCCGGGGATGCTTCCTGAATGATCTTCTTCCTCTTCAACCCCCTGCATGTCACAAGTTTCTTCAGAAACGAGAGGTTCCGATTTAGGCAGTGACTCATTTCTCATGTAGCTTGATAAATCGTTGAGAATTTTTAATGCTTTAGCATGTGAGCATTGCGCGTTGTCAATATGGAATGAGAGCGGACATTCAATAGAATCTTGTATAGGCAGATTTTCAGAACAGTCCTCTGTATTTTCAACCAATAAATCCTCTGTGTTAATAACAGTCCAGTTAAATCCCAAATTCTTCAAAACGTTTGCCTTTTGTAGTCCTTTAGTGTATACTGTAGCATCATTTAAAGTAGACAAATACGCCAGAACACTATTAAACTTGTCCCGCCCAGCAAACCAGTAAATTTTATGAAGTTTATTTTCACAATACTTCACTATACGCTTTTCATGTACAGTAAGAGAGTTGAAATGACAGGGGGGTTTAATAAAGAAATGTGTCTGAAAATAAGTGGGGTCTTCCGTACACTTAATATTACAAATTGTTATTTCTTTAAACACAAATCCTCTTGGAAGTAAAAATACCTCAAATTCAATAACGTACTTCATTTTGGTATGTACACGTATTTTGGCTCGTCTGAAAAAATTCCCTGGAGCACTCTGGTTCTGTCGTTACACTAAGGGTGTAGATTGAGGAATAAGTACGAGTATGGTTGCTCAGTTGCTCTTTTATAGGCATCAGATAGAAAATTCGTATTATCTGGAAAAAGCTGTTTACCTAAATATTGTATTTGAGATGCGAACGTAGGAGACCTCATAATTACCATATAATGACAATTTAGTCGTATATCGCGTCCGAATTTTCCTTGAGGATATAGATTTTGTGTTAATAGAATTACTGATACTGAATTGTGATGAATTCCTCTTGTGAATAACGTTTGAATTTTTTCATTCGTCAGCACATCCTTCATTTGATCATCAATTATTAGCAAAGTTGGGTGTTTGTTACTAAATTCAGACATATCAAAATCCAATCCTTGTCTAAATTCAATCCGATTATTATGTTTAGCCATATCATCATAAGCAGGTTGATTTTCTGTGTAAGAAACAACTATCCGGCTTGGGCAAGGCTCAATTAATTGTGCATCATGAGTCAGTAATTTTTTAACAAACTCTGACTTTCCTGATTGAGAAACTCCGGAAATAATTAACGAGAAGGGATGTAAAAGCTTTAGAGAATGACCTTCAATTTCCATTCTGCTGTTTTCGAAAATGCAACGTTACTTTGCACTGTCCTTTTTCAAACTGAAGTTCATCGCCAAATTCGTCACATAGAAGAATTTCAATTGTGTCAAATTCAAGTTGACTTAGTGGTAAATAATAAGGACGAAATTCGTGAGTCACGGCTTCATTTTTCTTTGAACTTACATTAACCATTCTTAGTAGAGGACAAAGACAGTCTCCTACAATTTGTCTTTTAATTATATCACTATATATAAAAATATGATATATTTGCCTAGATAGGTTTGGGGTGTTCGTTGCTATCCTACTAACGTCAAATCGACACGTATCGTCAAGGGTATATAAGTCAAACCCCAACATGTTAGCTAAACACACATTTATATAGAATGTTCCACAACCCTTTAAAAAATGTACTCTATTTGTTTCAGGGTTATATGCAAAACTTGCATAAACTTCGTCATTAAGTACTAAGCAGAGATTGATTTCTTCAACAAGTGACTGTACATCTTGGTATTGTTTATTTTTAACCATGCGATGACCAATATTGTTTTCTGGATCATTTGGAAATAGTATTTTTCTTGCGTCATCTTGCTGAAACGTTTTCAAAGAATTTACGTAAGTAAACTCTGTAATAGCTACTTCATATTCGTTAGATATAAAATTCAAACGTTTTGGTAGTTTAGTTTTATATAACGACATCCTGTTATTAGGATAGTACCGTGGGCTAACATTAGAAGGTAGGTGTAGGTAAAATGACATGATTTTTCGTTTATAAGTAAAGACTTTTCTTGATAACTTCCATTATTCAACTGCTTAGCGTACGAAGCTTCATACAGTTTTTATCCTTTTTCCAGGGCACTACTAATAGTCTAAAAAATGAAGCATGTTCATGTATTTCACCACGAACACTATCACCGTGTGTTAGAGAATCAAATTGGTAAAGGCATACCCGTGTTTAGAGGTTATAGACAGAAAGGAGGTGGTCTAGGAAGTATTCTGGGATTTATCGGTCGATATGGATTACCGCTCATTACCAAATATATTCTACCTCATGCAGCGCCTGCAATTATGAGTACAGTATCTGATATTACAAATGATCAATCAATTAAAACAGCCCTAAAATCCAATGCTATTAAAATGGCTAAAAAGGCTGGAAAATCTATTCTTAAACCCCAAGCAGGAGCTGGATTAGGTTCTAGAAAACGAAAAGCTTTACTAGGTGCAACGTCAGAAGAGTGTAAGGTGTTGCACGAATCACATCACTCGTCCAACCCAAAGAAATCTAAAGCTTCATCCGTAAAATCGGGCAACAAGAGAAAAACACCAACTGCACCTAAGAAAAGAAGATCAATTTTTAGTAAACGGGATATATTTGGATAATGGCATTAATTAACGAATTCTCTCAACCGTCTATTAGGGGACAAGTAGAGTTATTTGGTCTTCCACCTACAGACACAACGGTTGAATCCAGTTTCTACGCAGAATATAAACCTGTTGTAAATATACAAGATAACGATGCAAAAATTGATTTTCGAATTACTGGAAATGCATCGCAATATCTTGACTTGTTTGACCATTTCTGTTATCTTAGAGTAAAAGTTGTTGCATCGGATGGAAAAGATTTACCAGCAGCAGCAGAGGTTAGTACTTCTAACTTATTCATGCATTCCCTGTTTTCGCAATGTGATGTTAGTATAAATAATCAACTTGTTTCAACCAGCAATAACTGTTACATGTACAAAGCTTATTTAGAAACAGTTTTGACATACGGAACTGATTACATAAATTCCCAAGCGACTTGTCCACTATTCTACAAAGACACTGATAATGGATCGCTGAAAGATACTAACACAGGCTACAAAAAAAGAAAGCAATGGATTCAAGCCTCGAAACCGGTGGAATTAATTGATAAATTAAAATTTGACCTTGCTTATCAACATCGATATATTTTGAATGACACAACAGTTACCATTAGCCTAGCCAGAGCTGTTGAAACGTTTTCCCTTTTGTGCGGGGCACTTGCTTCAGGTAGTCCCGCGATTAATCCCAAAGTAAAATTCCTTGATGCGAGTCTATTTGTTAGAAAACATGTTTTATATCCTAGTATTGTCTTGTCTCACCAAAAGTTACTTGAAGGAGGGCATAGTGCTCGATACCCCTTCAAAAAATCAGAAGTAAAATTTTTTTCAATTCCAAAATCGTCACAATCCTTTATCGAAGAAAACGTTTTCCTTGGTACAATCCCAACTAGAATTGTCATCTGTCTAATTCCGAGTAAGGGTTTTGTTGGAGACTATGACGTTAATCCTTATGTATTCCCCCATTACAATCTTATTTATATATCATTAAGTGTGAACAATGTTCCCTATCCTATTAAAGGTTTACAACTTGATTTTGACAGTGATATTAAGTTATTACCATATTATTTACTGTGTTGTTCTCTTGGAACAGCAGGACAAGATCAAGGTTTGACTTTTGACAGAGAAGACTTTTGTAGTGGTCAGACATTTTTTGGATTTGACATTAATCAGTCTACTGGGTCAGATTCTGCACTACAGTTGGAAAAAAACGGATGTGTAAGAATCGAATTAAGATTTGCTAAGGCACTGCCTGAAGCGGTAAATTGTTTAGTTTATTCTGAACATTTTAAAATCTTGGAGATTGACAGATTTAGACAAATTTCTGTACAATAATGAATTCTTTACAACTTCGATATGCCTTAATCAACTCTATGAACATTTTCATAGCTGTTTGTGCCAAAGATCAGTTAGATAGTATTAATTCAAAAACGTTTGCAATTATTAGTAATAACCAATCTTCAAACGAGGCAGGGATGCACTGGTTAGCTTTCTACAAAGAAACTGAATCGTCTGTTCTAGAATTTTTTGATAGCTTTGGAATGCCTTTAGGTTTTTATGGAAAAGAATTTGAAGATTTTGCATTAAGAACGAGAAAAAGGTTAGACAGTCATCATCTCAATTTCAGTCAAATTCCAGCAATCTGTGTGGAGGGTATTGCTTATACTTCTTAATTAATCGAAACCGTAACTTGTCCTACGATAAAATTTTAAATAAATTCAACTCAGAAAATACTCTTGTGAATGATAAAATAGTATCAAACTTTGTAAAAACAAACCTTTACTTTCCAAAATGTTCCAAATGTGGAATCGAATGTAGCGGAAAATGTGCAAATAGTCTCAGCGATATTTGTATTCAGAAAAATAGAAATTGCGTTCGGATATTTCAAACAATTCAATCATGAAAACAGACAAACTTTTGAAAGAAATCTACTTTAATCCAAAACATATTGGAAGTTTTGGTGGACCACATCGGTTATCTGCAGCAACGGGAGTATCCCTGAAGGATGCTGTAACTTTTCTACAGCATTATGAAACATATACAACAAACAAATCTGTGAAGCATAAATTTTTTAGACGTAAAATGACTTCCCACGAAGTTGATTATTGTTGGCAAGCTGATTTAATAGATATATCAAAATATTCAAGATTAAACAAGGGAACAAAATATTTATTAACAGTAATAGATACTCCAAGTAGATTTGCTTTTGTTAAACCTCTAAGAAAAAAAGATGGAAAATCAGTAACAGAGTCTTTCAAGGAATTAATCCTAAACTCAAATCGGAAACCAAAATTCATACAAACAGACGAAGGAAAAGAATTTTTTAACAAACAATTTTATAATTTATTAAAGGAACAAGACATAAAATTATTTCATAACCATTCGCCACTTAAAGCAGCAATGGTCGAAAGGTTTAATAGAACACTGATGACGAGATTACAAAAAGTTTTCACATATAGAAAAACAAATGTGTATTATGATATTTTACAAGAAGTAGTAGATTCATATAATGAGAGCAAACACAGAATTATTGAATGTTCGCCTAGGTCTGTCAACAAGTATAATCAGGTGGATGTTTGGTTTCGGAGTAATAAAGATGTTCTTATGATGAAGCATCAAAAACCGAAATTAAAATCAGGAGATTTTGTTAGAATTAAAATAAATAAAGCGCTTTTCAGGAAAGGCTATTCCCCTACTTTTACAGACAAGATTTACAAAATTAGCGAAGCTCATAACAGCAAACCTATGACATACTCCATAATGGATAATTCAGGGGAAAAAGTGTTAGGAATTTTCTATCCTCAAGAACTATCTAAAGTGTTAACCTAAGCTATTTACATGCAAAATTATTTGAAAAATGAAAGCGGTCCCCATTTCCGCTGGAGCGGAAATGGGGACCGAGATTCATCACATGTTGAATGACAATTTAGCTGATAATGTATCCTCTCAGTTCGATTATAGATTTGAAGAACAAATAGATGTCCTATAATACAAATACATAGGCTGAGGGCCGATAATTTTGCGCAGCAGATGATAGTGGACGGGTTGCGGTAAAAATTTAAAAAATTGTAAAACATGTAAAATTGTTGATAAGTTCAGGTTACTGAAAAAAATTAGCCATTAAAAAATCTGGTTTAAATGCGAAAAATGCATTCTCCAAGCCTTGATTCTAATGTCAATGTTTCATAAACAAGTGATTATTAAAATACAGTAATGAAGGAATTTTTCACATTAGGTTTGTTCCTGACAATTCATGAATATTGAGATGTACAATTAAAAGACTAGTTTAAATACATAGTACATATTTTGGTAAATGAGTCATTGCAAAAAAGTTGGGGTGTGAATCTCATCAGCCAAGGGTTTTGGATGATTTTCATTGCTATATCGACTTTGACTCACTTATGTAAATATACATAACGAGGTTACCCATTTGGTAAATGAGTCATTGCAAAAAAGTTGGGGTGTGAATCTCATCAGCCAAGGGTTTTGGATGATTTTCATTGCTATATCGACTTTGACTCACTTATGTAAGTATACATAACGAGGTTACCCATTTGGTAGAAAATGTTTTCATCACTACAAACATAAATCAGTTGGATACAAGCGAACAGTATAATAACTTCAGTTTAATTAAAGAACGATTTCATTACCAAATAATTCGCAGAATTGTGCAATTCCTTCAAATAATTGACGAGTTTTGAGGTAACTTGATTTAGCCTTTGGGCTACATTAATTTGTAAATCAAAAGTATTTAGGAATAATTTACATCTCTTTGATATAATTTATTTAGAACTATACAAATATGCCAATCCCCCCAGGTAACAAGTTCTACGAGGCACTTGCAATTCGGGAGTCACGTAACAATCCCACCATCGTGAACGAATTTGGCTTCATGGGCCTCTACCAAATGGGTCCTGCAGCTCTGAAGGATACCGGGTACATGAGCAGCAGAGGGACTTGGACCGGAAAAAATGGGATAAACTCTCAAGCCGATTTTCTCAGCAGCCGTTCCGTCCAAGATGTAGCTATCCGTGAGTATCATGTCAAACTTTGGAGTTATATCCCGTCAGATGTGAAGGCCGCTGTTGGACGAAGAATTGGCGGGGTTGATGTGACAAGTTCGGGCCTTCTGGCTGCAGCTCATCTAAGGGGACAGGATGGGGTGGCAAGATTTATTCGCAGTGGTGGAAGGGATGATGACAGGGATGAAATTGGGACACCTTGCAGTGAATATATGCGACAGTTTGGGGGCTATGATTAAGTATGTAAAAAAATAAGCGAGATATGAAATGTGGAAAATAAATGTGAATTTATCAATCAAAGAATTTATTCAATAAAATAATTTATTAGTAATTACATTAATGTGCTTAAGTTTTCATCACGCTCATTCCCCCATTGACAGAAAATACATTGAGTAATTGGCATCAAATACATATATTCTCTCTCTTATGAACGTGGCAGATCTTTTTCACTTGGCGATTTAAGAATAAAAAGTGAATAAAATTGCATAAACGGTTGATTGGATTTTTCTGAAATTGGTTGGTTAACATGGTGAAGAACGTGGAAACCAAACAACAAATAATGATAAATTATTGGTGAATTGGCGAATTTATAGAGGTCAATTGTTCTTTCCTACTTATTTATTTATATATTTTTATGCAACCATAATCTGGAAATTCAGTATTTCTTTAGTAGTTATTAATTTATCAGGAGTAAATGAATTGTCCAATTGATGCACAAACTAATCATTACTAGAGGGGTTAAAACATCGATAAAATTACTGCCAAATCTTATCTTACTACATGACTGGGAATCCTTTCTGAAAATTTTGCAACGATGTGCATCTTCTATGTTGTAACCGTTTAAGGCGCGAAGAAATGTGACCGAGAGTTGGTTCAGGATTGCCGGCAATGAGACAATCCCTAAGTAGTAATCCCGTGTATGAACACGATCCCTAAGTAGGTCTCCAGACTGAGGGGAAGAAAGAGTAAGTGGCCCAAATTACTGAACAGTTTACCGGCAGTTACACTGTAGTTGAAGTTACACTGTAGAGTGGCAGGTGTCCCCACTAATTTAAAGAAGAAAGGGTAGGCGCGCGTGTCCGGGTCTCGTATGGTTTAGTTTTTTAAAGGAGAGCGGAGTTTCATGAAAATTGGGTGGGTAAACTGGGTGGGCAAATTGTCCTTTCAGGCTTCCGGGAGCTAAGCATAATCATGCTTACAACTTCACCTTACCAGGTAAGCTTCGTTTAAGCACTAATTATACTACGCTCCCTTCAGCCTTCAGGACAATTTCATACGAAAAGAAGATGTTTAAAGATAATGAAACGACGCGGTGTGTTGATAAGTATATATATATAAACACAAGAATTTAATTAGCTTAAGACGGACAATGCAAAATCACATTTTGTATCAATAACCTTATTATAAAACTTAGGGATGGACAGGAAAGTGGAGGAAATATTTACAAAAAAGAAATAATAGTGATGGGAGCAAATTTCTGCTAACGGTGTAGTTAACTTGGCTCGTGATGATCTTGAAGTGCTTGAAAGTTCTGAGATGCCTGAGCTGAAGATCCGGGGAACTATTTTTCGACCTAAAAGAAGTAATAGAAATTTGTAATTCTTTTCGAAATTTAGTATTGCTATAGGAATTATTTAATTGAAATATGCATCACAAGTTGGAATGTTGGACTTGTAAAATATATCTTGAAAAATTAGTCTTCGTGGCACACAAGTTTTTCCAAAAATGTTTGGGCGCTGCTACAAGCTTTGAAAATAACGATAACTATCCCAATGAAACCTTGAAATTTTTCTGAGGTGAAGCCAAGTACTGAAGAGTGGTCCCACAAAGAAATGAAATAACATCATTACCGTGCTGCCCAAAATAAAGATGATAAGCGTCTGCAGGGTAATTGCAAACCAGTGTGTGAATAGGATTAGAACAGATGAAGGAATATTTTTCGAAAAGTCTGTCGGGACTCTTGGAAGTATGGAACCTAAAAAAGGAGGTTGCTCTGTCTCGAGTACAAAAATTAGACCAAATCCGATTGGAGCGCCGTGTTGGGATGGCTGGCAGAACTAACTGAAAATTCATTTCCGGGAAACATGTGCATGTGACAGATCGTATCCTTATCGTAATTGGCAGATATGGAAAAATGCATATATACAATATATGTATTTTGGATGTATGTTTATCTGTGTTCGCCACATACATACATATATATTTGTAGAGGAAAACGATTTATGTCGTGACTAATCTATCCCACCTGAAGTACTGGTTTTGTGCAATCATGTGTACATTTGGTAATAAGGTGCAATAATTCCCATAGCGTATGTAGGAACTTACTTATCTAGTAGAACCACAGCAAAAGATCTGCACGCAAAAAATTCGACTGTATTATTAGATATACTACGTACGTACATAGATATGGAATATGAAAATAATTCCCGGTATGTAAATGAGCACGTAATGAATTTCAATTAGAGGCTAGATTCATATCTAAAAAATTTAATTTTCTTCCCCCATAATAATTAAAGAAACCAATTATAAGAATGTAAGAAAATTAATTGCTCTTTCTTATAAAATTTACCCTGGTCTAAGAAAACCAATATCTACCCAATATTCATGTTCTTTAATCGTTGATCTAAAGAATGACATTTAAAAAGTAATTACTTTTCAGATACACGTGGAACTTCAATCTGACATTTTGATTTCTAAAGCACTTGGCATCCGAATATAATGCTCTTGCTTATATAAAAATTTGTAAATTAATAAAACTAAAGTTTGTGGAAAGTCCTTTAGCTTTTTCTTGGCTCATACGCGTGCTCCTAAGTTGGTGGATCCCACTTACCTACATAGTTCCCCAATTTTAGAAATATTTTCATAATTAACTGGCGAAAATGTTGTCCACATACGTGGAGCTTTTGTTAACCTTACAAAACTTATACTTCGACCATTTTCCGCTCCGTTATAAACTACCCATGGAATATCGACAAACGGCAGGGAACGAAATCCGGCTAGGAAAAATAAAACAGCGCTTTGCAAAGTTCGCGACACTTTTCCCAGTGTTTCTCTTCGCAGCAGCCACGGTTCTGTTCATCGCAGCCATGTTCGTCCGACTTCCCACGTTGCGCAATCCGATGGGAGATGTGAAAATCTGGGCGTGGATCTTGTTGGGTACCACCAGCTTCAGTGCCCTTGTCTTCTATACATTGTGGATGTTGGTGTATCAAAAAGACGCAATTTTTATGTCGAACGAGATCTTCCGGTATGAGGGAGAGTTAAGAAAAGGTAAAACTTTACGAGTACTTTTGAAGTTTCTTACGTTTCTTAATAAAACTTAATTAAAAAATTCGATGCCGCCATTTTGAAAGTTTGAAGCTTAGAATGCAGATGTTTAGTTCAAGGCGAGATTCCTCGTATTTTGGTTGATCTTTAATTTTAGAGGCGTACCTTTAAAAATTGAAAGCAGGAATTTGTTATTTTGTCTTTGTTTTTATTAAATTTCAATTTTGTGTAGATTGGAACCTCTCAGTAGACCACACAGTGAAAGCAACCAACATCGAGAAGGCTCTCTTGCGTCTTTTCCAGCTGTTCGTATGGGCGTTCTACTTAATCACCCCGGTTGGATCCATTGTCGCAACGCTCCTGGAAATGGACCCTCTCCTCCCGATTATTGGATTCATCTTTAGAACGATTCCTATATTCGAGAAGCTTCTAAGATTCATTGCTCTCAATTCTGAAGAATTTTTTAACTTTTGTGTCTTCTCCTTCAGGGTAGGGTGGGTGACAATTTTCCTGTACGAAGGTTTCCGAGTACTTATGTTTTGTCTGGGATTATGCATTTACGTGGGGAAAGCGGTAATTTCGTATTTAACGAGTATATCAAGTCTAACCACGAAATTCCAATCGAACATAATTCTGCGCGGATTTAGGCTGCATTTAAGAATTTATAAAGTATTGCTAATTATATTTCAATCTTTGGAGGCTCCAATAAAACCTACGACGAGTTTAGGAATAGTTGCCAGTACGATGGCCGTTGCTGGTTGTTCGTTCGTTGTGATTAGGTTGCACGAGGTTAATGAAGTGTACTTCACAGTATTTTGTGGATTGGTTAGCTTCAGCGCGGTGATTTTGACGGAAATCACTTTGGATACATTAGGCGAGTTAAATATGAAGGCGGTCAAACTGTTGCTCCATTTCAGAAAAACTGAGATCCTACTAGGAATGGGGGCACTTCGGAAAAAATTATACCTCAAGGAGTTACACTTTCTTCCATCTCAATTCCTTTGGGCTTGGGTACGTCGAGGTTTTCAAGAATGACGCAAAAGGTTAAGACAGAAATATTAAGTAATATTTTTGAAGTCAGTGTAAATTTATTGATTGCATTTAAATGATGAGCAGTAGTTTATAGCTTTGAAATTCATTTTGTCGTTAATGTTGGTGGATCATAATGTGAGGAATATGTAAATAAATGTCAGGCATTTTTAAATCTAGCCAAGTTAAATATATGTGTTGGCAACTTATTTGAGTTTCAGGTTATGTTATGATATGTTATTTTATTAATAGGCATTTTTTAAGGATTTCCGCAATGTTTTGAATATGCGTGATCGATCAGTTTTTGAGTGATTTCAAAATTTGTTAGGTTAGGATCATTTTATAATCTAAGAAATTAATAGATTTTGGCCAAAAATAAATAAAATTTTCAATTAAGTATATCTACTATGGTTTAAATCGGTTCACCTAAATTTCGTAAAATGTTCGTATTATTCGTGGCGGAATGTATTCATACATATCCCACCCAGTGTTAACAGTTATCTATGTACAATGTACTAGTGTGACCTAATATAATGTCACAGTTACAGTCCACGACAAAAGTTTAAAGGCACCCACGAAATAACCATATCTATTGAACCCCTGAACCGATTTGGATGAAATAAAGTTTATTTAGTAACAGTTGCATTCATATTACGAAGTAGAATAGCATAAACAGCATCCAAGTTAAGAGTGGAGCAATATGGGACAATAATCGACAAGTAATCATTTTCGTCGCGTCAAAAGTTTAAAGGCACCTGAAGATTTTCAGGTTTCTCGCCATTATTCCCCAAATTCTTAGCAAATTCTAAGTGAACATTTTATTTGGTAATATTTTATTTCTAGTGAGACCATTCGGGTCTTACAAATATAGTCCAGAAAGTAGATTAAGGAAGCCTAAAACCATGTTATGACATCAACGGAAGAACACTGTGATACAAAGCTGGGGCATATTGAAACATAATTTTTTATTAAAGAAATGGACACGAGATAACCGCTAAAAACAATTACTACGAGGGAAGATTGAACGTATGTGCAAAATTGACCAACTTGACTTATTTATGTAATACAATATCCAAAACGGACGAACTAAAGCTTGTCTCACTGCATCCAATGCTGTCTAAGAACAAATTTTCGACCATAACTGATATCCTTGGATATCTCAGGCTCATTTAAAGTGACTTCATGGATTATGAAGATACCTTTAGCAGAAGCATACGTAGAAAATCCTTTTCCATCCATCAGAACCAAACATAAGGTTTCAAGTTTGCTTTCTAAAATTCCTTCCTGCTAAAGGATGAATGTAAAATTATCCTCCAAATTAGGATAGGACTTCCCTGCATTATATTTACATATTTTGTACTGCTGCAAAAATTATAACAGGTTCTTCCAAGGGGAAGGCCTAATGTTTATTTTGGTTGCTCGCGGTGTATTTAAATTTACGTCGTTATTCAAAAACCAAGAAATTGTGCAATCTTCCAAAACATGTTAAGCTAGCCTTGCCAAGTTGGTCAATTTTGCACATACGTTCAATCTTCCCTCGTAGTAATTGTTTTTAGCGGTTATCTCGTGTCCATTTCTTTAATAAAAAATTATGTTTCAATATGCCCCAGCTTTGTATCACAGTGTTCTTCCGTTGATGTCATAACATGGTTTTAGGCTTCCTTAATCTACTTTCTGGACTATATTTGTAAGACCCGAATGGTCTCACTAGAAATAAAATATTACCAAATAAAATGTTCACTTAGAATTTGCTAAGAATTTGGGGAATAATGGCGAGAAACCTGAAAATCTTCAGGTGCCTTTAAACTTTTGACGCGACGAAAATGATTACTTGTCGATTATTGTCCCATATTGCTCCACTCTTAACTTGGATGCTGTTTATGCTATTCTACTTCGTAATATGAATGCAACTGTTACTAAATAAACTTTATTTCATCCAAATTGGTTCAGCGGTTCAATAGATATGGTTATTTCGTGGGTGCCTTTAAACTTTTGTCGTGGAGTGTATGTACGTAGTTATGGTAGAAATCTAAAAGACAGACCTTTTTTTCTGTCGCAACAGGGAAAAAATTAAAATTATCACTGCTCTGTCAGTTTTGGAGTGATTTCAAAAATTTAAACGGTTTTGGAAACCTTGGACCATGAAGAAAAGAATACGCTCGCAGATCTTTAAAGTATGACCACACCCCCCAAGAAATTTAGGAAATTTATTTATTTACTTTTTCTCTTTTTTGGACCTTCTGACCTAAATTTCTTGGGGGGTGTGGTCATATTTTAAGGGACTGAGCTCCAATTGTCTCTTTCAGTAATTACGTTAAATACGGATATATGATAAAGGTGCACTAAATGCTGTAATCCTGAAAGGGTGTCGAATAATAAATAAATAAATCATCTGCCAGTGTTAACAGTTGTTCCTTCAGTGTAGGATAGTCTTAGATGAGATTTCCCGTACCAGTCAACGGAAAGTTTGCCAGCGACAGGTTTTGACGTGAGATTTGAGACTGCGCTTATCCAGGTAGGTTTGTGGACATTTTTGGCATTGGAACATTGGTCGGGTCGATTTGTCTTGGTGCGTCATCTGCAACCAAGATAAGTTTTAGCCAAAAGGGAATTAAATCAGTAAGATCTTTTACTTTTGACATATTTAGATATGTTCTCAATTCACCCTATGCCTTTTAAGAGCTCCCGGATGTGAAAAACGCTTCCCACATGTGTCGCATTTCAAGGCTTTCTCAGTTGTATGAGTGAAAATATGTGTGTTCAAATTTCCTCTGCTTTTGAATTCCTTGTGACACAGGGTGCATCCAAACCGGACGGGATTCTCGGCATGCTCCATTTTAAAATGGCGGGTAAGATGGTTTTTATTTGAAAATGATGTCCCGCACCCAGGGAAACTGCAGAAAATACTTTCTCGTTCCGTCGTATGAGTGGTGATGTGTCGATTTAGATCTGCCTTGAATTTAAATTTTTTTGAACAAAAGTAACATTCAAATAATTTCATGTCGGGGTCATGAATTCGTTTAATATGCGCCGATAAATTATATTTATACTGAGTTTGAAATTGGCACAAGTGACACGAATGTGGTTTTAAGGTAGAATGAAAATGCTTTTTATGGGACCACAAGTTATTCTTGGAGACAAATATTCGAGAACACGTCTGACACGTAAACCTTGTTCGGTCCGAATTATCCAAGTGGGTCGGCTACAAGGGAGGGATATGAATTTGATGAGAAGAAATCAAGATAATCTAATTGTTTGTGAAATTTTCCAATTATTTACCTCGTGCTTGGTGAGTAATATCTTATTGAGGAATGATTTCCTACATTGGGAACAGTTGAAGTTTCTCCCTCGTATGAGTGCCAATGTGGTGAACTAAATTTCCTTTACTCTTGAATTCATTGCCACAAATTGCGCAGGGAAATCGGGGTTGATTTTCATCGTGCTCAACCTTAAAATGTAAACGTAGACTTGATTTAGTTGCATATGTTTTATTGCATCCTGCAAATCCGCATGGAATTCGCTGTCGTGGTGTCTCGGAATGGAGGGATTTCATATGATTTCGCAAATATAGGAGTGACTTATACTCCCTCCCACAGATGTGACACGGTCGCTGATCCTGATTTCCGTGCATGGTGGAGAGATGTGTGGCTAGACAGAATTGTAGGATACATTTCCCCCAAATTGTCAGGTCTAAATGATAACTAACTTGGGAAGCAGTTGTTTCCAAAATTAAAAAAACACAGGCACATTTTAAAATTAAACATATGCTTTAGAAGGTAAGAAGATTACACAAATTTTATGCTTAGGGTTTGCGTGTGGAGAATTTTATAGACGGATTTTGTTGGAAAGCTTGGGTTGTATAGAATAGTTCAGTTCTCAATGAATACTGATGGAATCGTTTGAGTTTAATGTGTAGCAAAGTGGTTTTTTGGGTTCTAGAAAAGGGTTGACTTTCGTTCCGAGTTATTTATGGAAAGGGTCATAATTTAGGTTTGGGTATGTATGTATATGAAAATATGGAGCTATATAATTAGAGCAGTTAGTAAATACTAACTTTATGAGGACAGTAAATTCGCTGTCCAAATTTACAGTATTGGCTGTGCGTAATACGAATACAGAATATATTTTTACAAATGAACAAATGTATGTGAAAATTGGACGTAATATATTTTAAAATTCGATCCAACGTTTTTTTCTTCCCCTGATGTCTTCCTTATACACAGAGCTAAATACCTGGAAAATATAAATAGGATTTTGTAAATTTGGCTGGGTACAATTCCTCGTTCCGTTGCCCATGCGTGTGAATGGAAATCCTTTAAGTGGGCCGTTGCCAGCACTAAATTCCATGACCGGAGGCAAATTCCCTCAATGCGAGGACTTGCCAGAGAGTTCCATCCAGTGGGTACGTAAGGACTTGGAGGAAAAGGATATGTATTCGCCTCGCTATATTGTTTAGGACTGGTGAGTGGGTTGTGAAATAGTTATTTTACAAAATATTTGCAATTAAAATAATAGATTTACGCGTCGTTTTCGCATCTTTTAATCAGGTTAAAACAAAATTTGCTTGAATACGTTGAGGGACACTAGATTGAAAGGGAGTAAAAACAGTGCAATCTGCGCATTATTAGGAAGGGATGTCAAGTCCGTGTACATTTAAGTAGATGATACATGTCAAGCCCAAACAGCCCTAAATTTTTCGTCTCGCCAATTGAGGTAAACATTTTCTGACTGGTTTCAATTTAAAATAGGTTAGATTATAAAATTTAATACAGCTTTGTCCCACGAATACATGTTAGTTTTTGCAACTAATTTGATTTTTTCGTTTATAATTTAAAGCACAAAGGTGACTCATGCGAAATACTTAAAATGGTGGTAAATAAGAAATGGGAGTGCTCGGAATGTTCGAAGACGTTTAATAACATATACAATTTTAAGAGACATCTCGTCATTCACGATAAAAATGGACAAGTTAAATGCGAGGTATTTATTTTAAAAAATCCAGCGACGAGCAAAAGAGTTGTAATGAATGATACTTGTAAATAAGGTTTTTTTTACAGATTTGTGGAAAAATTTTGAAAAATCTAACCAGTCTCCCCACCCACAAGCGGAATTTCCACGAGACCCAAAAAAGATTACCTTGCAACATTTGTGGACGAGGGTTTAGCTCCCCTGGGTGTTTACGACGTCATGCAAAATCTGTGCATGCTACGACGAAACGAAAACGGATATCCTGTACTTTCTCAGGGTGTGACAAAACGTTTTCCACTGCTGGTAATCTTAGGCAACATTTTTATACCGAGCATGCCGAAAATCCCATCCGATACCTATGCACCCTCTGTGGGAGGGAATTCAAAAGTAGGGGCAACTTGGGCCAGCACGTGAGGGCACATACGACAGAGAAACCTCACAAATGTCCAACATGTGGGAGGGGTTTTGCTCAAATGACTTATCTCAGATTTCATCAGGTGCCTAAAATTATATAATATATTTAATTAAATCGTTATACATTTATCAAATGTCTTTTTAGGCAACCCACGAAGAAAATTTGGTACGGAAAACGTTTTCCTGTCCATTATGTCCCCGAACATTCCTACGTAAGGGCAGCGTGCAGACACACATCAAGTATTTCCATGCCAAGTCGAAGAACTACTCGTGTCACTTATGCTCCCTCAAGGCAAATTACAAGAGCAGCTTATCAACACATATGAAATGGAAGCATGATTCTAAAATTTCGAGACGATTTGAGTGTTATTTTTGCGGGAAAAAATTTATAACTTTTACTTGCTTGGCGAAACATTTTAGGAGATTGCATACCTTGGAGAAGTGTATGAAACGTATTCCAAAAAATTAAATAGATCTGAAAGCCCTAATCCACCGAGAAAAAAATTTTTTTTTAGATATGACCACGCCCCCCAGAAATTTGTTCTACAAAGTCAGAAAATTATTAAGAAAGGTTCTAATTTTAAAAAATCGACCATAGATATGTTGTCTTTATTGGGTGTGTATTGGAACTATTTAAGTAAAGAAATGCAAATTTCAAACGGTGTGAATTTGATAGAGAAGGATTAGATAAGGTAATCTCGAGCTATGTAACAATATAAAATCTTTGACACAGCTATGCATAAGTTGACAAATAATAATTAGTTCGCATTGGACATACATATATATGCATGCATACTAAACAGTAAATAATGATTTGAACAGTCGTTACAAAAGATTGAATAATTTGCATTTTTTTCGTTTTTTTATTAATCAATGTTTGTTCAGTGACAAAGCAATAGTAATTATTTGCTACATTTAGTAGAATATGAAATGCACTTCACGAAGGTTGACGCCAACTCCAAATTCCTGACAAGCTAAAAAAATTCCCGTCGCAAATGTCGCTGTAAGTATACACTTACATATGTATATAATATATATTAGTTTTGTAACTTCCAGGAATTAAGAAATAAATCAAGTATACTTGGTTATTCTTAAATTTCCCTAGGCGTGATCAACAAACAGGGTAAATTTTTTGTACAGTTTCTATTTTACACAGTTTGTCGTTTTAATGGTAACGGTTTCAAATCCGACAAAATGTGGAAAGATATCACTTGTGAAAGAAATGCAGCATATTTTTTTATCTTTATCTTGTATGAGCATATCATATGCTTACACATAAGATACGGTTGTTTGAATCCGGATCAATATCAGGGAATAATTAAATATTGTACATAATGTATCCGGACACATAAGTTACTAATGGAATAAAATTATGAAACTTGTACAAACCCGATATCCATTACCCATATTATATCTCTCTCTGAACGCAAGAAGGCATGAGTTGAGTTGAGCCTAGTTGAGAGAATTAACTTCACAATACAGATCAATAAGGTAGGCGTGCGGTTTTCCGAATTCGCTTCCATCTTGGCACAAGTATTATTCCAGTCTTTGAAAATAGTACATCGCCCCCACCAGGTAGTCCAACCACTGGACAGTATTCTCCGTTCCCGGTCAGTATATCGTACCAATAAAGACTATCAGTGGGATCAAGTCCACCCACGATGAAGCCACATTACCCAGGGAGGGAGAAGAGTACCTGAGCTTGGCAGTGGGGAAAAACGAGAAAAACCCACTGCAGGCACTAGGACTTGAACCCAGCACCTCCATTCAGCCCACTCAGGTGGACGGTAAGCAGGACGGCATTTCTGCCACTCCGCCTCGTCACCCTTCTAGCACGAATATGCAAGCTGGGGGCGCCGCAAGTTCACCAAAAGTCCGAGGTGCTGCAGCGAGGCACAGATTCGGGCATGAAAACTGAGCGTTTGAGCGAATTGCAGAAATTGTAGCATCTACGTAGACTTCGTGCCAAATGGTGTTTCTAAAGCGTCGGTCTTTCAAACGAAGCGAAGATGGTAAAAAAAATAATCTGGGCCGAACATGGATTACGTCCTCATTGCAAGTTTTCTTGTTTTTGAAGCATGAATTTTTTGGTCTGAAATATTTCTTTAAGTTAATGCCTAAAGTTTGCTGTAAAAGTAAGAAGTCATTTTACAAAACTATTTTCAAAAACCAGTATGAAACCAGATTTGTATAATTCTAAAAATACAAATTATGAAAAATCGAAAACAGGTTTTACAAATTCCGCGGATTTTAGCAATCCAACTAAGCGTGATAATAGTGAGGAAAAATTGTAACGAATGATTTTTTCTTGCACATTTTAGGTTTGAAAATATTCAGCTGTAAATAAATTACACCGTTGCTTGAGAGTATCAAAAAGGCCGACCTGACACCATAATGTCAAACGTGCTAAGTGGCATATTTCTGTTATTTCCGATTATGACGGTGACGGGAGCGAATGTGACCACAACTCCACTTCTGTTTTCAGCCGTCTCGTCGGGAGTAATTAATCGAAACCTGGATTTTCGCGTGATTGCGACACTATACTCAGCCCCGGAGTTTCCAGTAATTTTTAACTTCAGTTTGGCAGAAGAGGTTAGATAACACATTAAACAACATTAAGCGTGTGAAAAAATCCAAAAAATCAAAATTACTTCAATTCCAGTTTTTTCATTTTTCTTAAACTAATCTTGTTGCACAGCATATACATAATGTTCTGTAGTGTACAAAAAATCTATGCGTATTACGCTGATCACGTAACGTATCACTAGCGAGGCAAAATGTTTACGGTGGTTTACAAGGGAATTTGATGAGGTTTTACATTCTATTAAAAAAACATGTAGGGATACTTTGAAAAGATCTATAGCACCCAAAATGAACCTTCTACGCGTTATACCAGAGGAGTGCTTGTTTCATACACCGCATATTTTTTTAAACAGTGCAACACCTCATCCAATTTTCCTGCATGTCAACCTTCAATATTAATAAGTTGGATGAGGTTAGGATACAGCGTAAAAATTGGCGCAATCATTAAAAAATGACGTGATGCACTTTATATGTAGCGGGATCCTCAAAATATTTCGCTTTTTGACGCCGAAATAGCATTTGAGGCAGATGGGAGTAAAGAAGTCATCATCCGGACTAGTAATTTAAGTCTGGCTTCCCACTACACCCTGAGAGTAAGGGTAACATCTGGAAGTACGACGGCTAGTGGGTCCACCTATGTAACCACCGCAGCCAACTTGATCCTCTTGTCACGACGGATAAAGAATTATACAAGCCCGGGGAAACTGTAAAATTCCGAGTATTCCTCTTGGATAGGTAAGAAATCTTATAATTTTATCTGGTTCTTATTTGGATCGTCACCAAAAATGATAGAAGAATTTATGACTCAGGAACTATGTATTTATGCGCAAATGATAGACACTGCACATGTCAAACCTCTTATTCAACTCAAAGACTAAAAAGTCTCAATGTGAAAATTAAGGTCTTATAATTTCCGTGTTACATGAGAAATTATGCGTTTTTGCTTGCGAGAAATCCCAAAATTTCATTTTCAACCACGACACAAACTGCTCAAGAAACGTTGGTTGTATTGATTAGGAACACATAATTTTGAATTTTGAACCAATTTTGAATCGGAGGTTTACACTTCACGCCGTCGTATTGTAAGATATTATTTGCCCAAAGTTTAAATCACGTTTTTGCCAGTATTATTTTCGTTCACTTGTGAGCACGACTGCACTCTGTGAAGTCTAAATTTTAGATACAATAAACCGTTACAACGAATGTAATCAAGGGGTGAAAGAACTGTTTCATACGTTAAACTGAATTTAATGTTAAATTGATATATATATTCCCTATGAACTTTAGATGACCTCTGAGGTAAAAATGGAGGTCACCATTGAATTTGACGCTGAAAAATAGTTAAAAATGATGTGTCACATGCCAAAACTAAAACGTGACACCTTCTCGTCACTGTGACGATGTCACAGTGTCCATCTTCGAACTCGTCCTGTCAATTGACGTTAGGAGTTAACGTTCAAAATTTCAAGTCTCTATGTCGTTTGGTTCAAAAGTTATCGGAGCTACGGATGGACAGACAGACAGACATACAGACAGACGGACGGACGGACATAACGATCTTATAAAGGCCTTTCACCCCTTAATAATTAATTAATGGAGGCGATCAGTGCCTATACTAGGCCACCCAACAGGGTGGGCAAACTTATTGATGCGCCCCAAGCCGATCGCGCCTTCGACGCTCACGAATTCTTCTAAGCACCAAAATTACCATTTAAAAATTCGTTGCAAAGACATGATTTATTATCCTAAGCACAATGCAACCATTTCCAATGTACTCCGATGGAGAGCGCATCAAAATCTCCGATCGCACTCAAACATTCTTTATGGGATGAAAAATATTACTCCAAACCTATTTTTCGAAATTTCAATTTTTGGCGAAATTATGGAAAATTTTAAATTTCATTTTTTTGATTTTTTCTCTCAAATTACGAAAAACCACCCATCAAAACAATACACTTTCCTACATATAAAAGATCATGACAAATCTATTGGACCGGAGCAATAAAATGCTCAGAACTTTTTACACAGTTAATGCAATTTCAAGAAAGTTGCATATGTTTACTACCAAAGGGTCTGGATTGCCATACAGTTCAAATTTTAATGATTCAATTCCGCAATGTGCTACAGATTGCATTTTCTTCTTCCGATGTCGCGTCAAATTCCTCCCATAGACTGCACCTACTTTCAAGCTGATTCTCTTCCATCTGTTCTTAAATTTTCGTAAGGTGTCTGGCGTTTCTGAAAGCTTAGAATATTTGGATTTAGTCAGCGCTCAGAATTTCTCAATTTATCGCAGTCGAGGAAAATTTGGTGGGTTTTCATTTTTTGGCACAAATTCAATTTTTTTCAGATGTAGGTACTGAGTGACCTCTTTGGCGTTATGAGACCTTACGAGGTCAGACCAAAACAAAACTTTATGTGTTTATGATCTTTGGTAACAAACGATTCCAATCCCCCTTTAATTCATGATTTAAGATAAACCTCCTGGTTTACAGTGCCCTCCAAAATGACGGGATCAGAAATATGACCAATGCCAGACATGCGTTGCCAAATTGTTCATTTTTTGGGGAATTGGTCCTTCTTTTGGACTTTGTCTTCATATTTTACTTCACAGGGGTTGGAACTATGGAAAAAATACCTTCCTGGAAGATTTGAAGGGTCAGCTGTGACGTAGAGCTCATCGTCCATGGTGACCACTTTTCCCCGAATTTTCTTCAACAATTTCTTGCAGCACGCATGAATCCTTCCCGTTTGTGTTGGTTTGTAATTTGGTGCTGGTTTTTTTGCCCTTGCTATAATCCCTAGTTTATGGACTTTGATTTTGCTCAGATAGCTTTTTGAAATCTTGACCTTCCTTGTCGTGGCAGCCGTTGTCGTTGATGCATGATTTTTGAAAAAAATTTTATCCGATTTTTGACTTTTGTCGCCGATAGCTTTGCAGGTGGACTAGTGGGGACTTTGAATTTGACGTCATTGGATTCCTCGTACTTTTTTATGTAAGAGTTGACATTTGAATGAGGAATACCTTCTTGTTTGAAAAATTGCCAAGTAGTTTTGCAATCACTGTTTGCTTCATTTTTATGACACTCAATTCCTCTTTTTTCCAACTCTTCCCTTTCAACCCAAGTTTTTCGAGTGTCAGCCATGACTCAATAATGGGTGACATATATCAATGGAAAGCTTATAACTTTCTATTCAAAAATAATTTTTTCGAAATTTAATTTCGCTGTGTTCCCGCCCAGCGCGCGTCTGAAGGGGCGGTCCAATACATTTGTCATGATCTTTTATCATTGTATTTCTATTTTCATTAGGACATAATTTATGCATTAAAATTTCCCAATTTCTTGAAATTTGAAAAAGATAGTGCTAAACTCTGCTTAGTTGATGGACAATTTATGCAAAACGTTTTCATTTCCCGAGGTCAAATTTCTAAAAATAGATGCATTTGACTTTGTAGAATAAGATATCACAAAATTGACATTCGGAAATGAAAATATTTTTTGAAATTCAAATTTTAAAAAATCATAAAACTTAAATAGTTTTTTTACGTGGCACGTGTACAAAAAATCTAAAGGCTTAAATGACAGCAAATTAAGTGTCGTAATCCAGTTAATTGGACATTTAAAATTTATTAAAAAATAAGTTTTCTGATTTTGATGAAACTTCAAATGCATGCGCAAAATAATATTTATTTGTTTTTAAAATTATTAAAATTGTAATTCCAAAAATGGGTTTGCGGGCGTTCGGAATTAAGCCACTGCGGGAGGTGAGCTGTCTCAACTATCTCATGGCTTTGAGTTTTACAGAGTACTTGAAAAAACTGCAGCCAGGGCCCGGGCTGGGTATATTTGCGCCCTAGGCAAAATTTTTCTTGCGCCCCTAAGTTTCCTCATGAGATAAATTCCCTGTTAAAAATTTACAATTATATACTATACATTTCAACAGCAATTTACATTATTTTATTGTTGCTCAACAATTATTTTATTGTTAAAACCTATACTCGAACTGAAAGTGTAAATGATTAATCTCGCGGAAATGCAAATTTGTATCCAAAAGGTTCAAAACTTGAAAGAACCAAGAAATTAAACCAAACATTACCAGAACTTCACTCAGAATACGATACTTTGAAGTGTGATACTCCGATTTTGTTGAAATCTTGAAATTGTACAGTTCAAATCAATACAACGAACTAACGTGATTAATGTAACTAGCTATAGTCTTCCCTCAGGGCTTGATATTAAAGTTGAGGGATTTACTCGGGAAGTACATGACCAATTAAAAGAAACAAATATGGATAACTATAAATAATTGATAAGTGGCTACGGCTTTTCCGATGTGGATGGTTTAATTCGAATTTAAATTTAAAAATTTCTGAATTGTTAAAAAAACAATTTTCTCCAAAAAGTAAATATAAAAAAATACGAAGAATCCAGTGGGGTTTGAACCCACCTGAGTTTAAAATTTTTGTTTTGAACGTTGGAGTTGGCGCAGTGTTTCTATTTCTTGCAGGGTACAGAAAAACCGAGGGTTTCAATAAAAATAACAAGGGGGTTTAATTGGTTTTGATAGGTTTTTTGGGTTTCATTAGGTTTTCAAGGAACTAAGGTAATAAACTCAACAAAATAATCCTAACATGAAAGACCACATTTGAGAAAATTAATTTGATTTTTGACACCTGTGCTTTCGAAGAAAGAGATTCATTTTCGTATCACGCTTAAATACGAAGGCATTGTCCAAAAACCCGAGTTTGTTGGAAAACCCGATGCCTGGGGCTTTCTCTGAGACTCTCGTGTGCTTTTACAATATTTTTTTTCGGGGGAGGGAGTCAACAAACTTTCTGAAAATAGATACAGTATGTAGCATATTTAATGCTACGATGACATAATTTTTATATCGCCATCATCTTGCTACTTGTAAAATTTCAAGCTCAATTTCAAGCTGTGCAAAAATCTCAAAAGCATATACGGACAATTTGCTCGTCGCCAATTCTTAATATCGCAGACAGGTAAAAGGTCACGATTATTTTCCTGAACGAATTTGAGACGTCGAAAAAACAACCTCGTGGATATTTTTTTAAAACTTTTTTAGTATTGTTCTAATATTTTTTATCGGATCCGAAGGAAAATCCGACATTGAAAATCCGATCCGATTTGATAGAAAATGAGCTTTGGTTGGACCGTGTAAGATTTTTTTGACACGCACAGGAATTTTTCGCCAAGGACAGGTGTGAGGTCTAAAATCGCCACCGCGACGAAAATTCGAACTCTTAAATATAAGTTTGAATACAGACAGGCTGGATATACAAATGTATATTTCAGTTTTCGAGTTTTCGCCGCGGTGGCGATTTTAGACCTCACACCTGTCCTTGGCGAAAAATCCTGTGCGCGTCAAAAAAATCGTACACGGTCCAACCAAAGCTCATTTTCGTTCAAAACGCATGTCGGATGCAATAAAAAATATTAGAAAGTTAAAAAAAATATCCACGAAGTTTTATTTTGACGCCTCAGATTTTTTAGAATAAGAATAGTGGCCTTTCACCTGTCTCCAAAATTAAAAATTGGCAACGAGGAAATTGTATAAGTACTTTTGAGATTTTTGGAAGGAGTTTGCAATTTTACAAATAGTGAGATCATGGCAATATACAAATTATGTCATCGTAGCATTAAGTGTGTTACATACTGTATAATGTGCATGATATTAAAAATGTTGATACAAAGTTCTACAAATACCTAGATGGGCCACTTAACTTGTGAAATTTCCAACAATTTTTCTTAGCCACAAATGAATTTTTTTATGATAATTAATTTGCTCGATCCGATGCCCCTTAGTCTCAGCTTCAAGTCTGAACCGCTTTTTCCTTGATGAAAACATCTCCAGCCACTTTTGAGGAATTATTTTTAACCACTAGTCCTGAAAAAAGTCCATCTCAAGTAGTAGCTAATTCGTACATTTTCTCCACGACGTACAACAAACTGACCTTGTCGCGTTCAGGTCATCTACCCTGAACAAAGCTTGGTCGATTGTGACCACAGGTTCGTCCCTACCTCCAGCAAGGTGGTTCTTGCACAGCTTTTTTTGCAAAAAGTATGTAGCAATTAGTGATGTGACGCACGTTTAACTCAGGTGGTAGTTTTATTTTCTGTTTCTGTTTATCTGTTTCATTTTGTCCAAATCTCTTTTAATGACCCTTCGAATAGTTGTGAAATTCGATTTTAGTAGTTTGGCCAAACTACGAAAGCTTTTTGGGGTTTCCTAGTCAATCAAATGGTTGAGCTTCGTTTATAGCTCTTTTGCCATAATTGTAGGGAGCGTTTTTTAAGGGGTGTAGGCAATACCTGATTAATTGCTTGCTTTCTCACGCATTCTCTACTTAATATTCAATGAATTGAGGCCACAGAAATTTTATGTCCACGTGCATTGACCCTTTTTTGATCGCACTTCCGGTGCAACCCTGGCTGGAAAACTTTGTCACTAGTACATACCTCCACTTAAAATGATCAGGGAGGAGCAGTTTTTCAGATTTTCAAGTAGAAAAAAATTACAGTTTGATCTAATTGGTTTGCATATCAAACAGTGTAGGCCGGGTTTATTTAAGTTTTGCCAGTTTGTTCGCGCGAGCGTTTGAAAATTTCTCAAGTTAAGTGGCCCACCCTCTGTAATACGAAGTCCTCAAAAAACTCTCGAAAAAAGTTGTAAGGACAAAAATTAGGAAATACATGGCAAAAACCGTTGTCAAAAATATTGACTCGCCTTTGAGTTGCAAATCGCAGACGGGAGCGATTTTTCCAACTTTCATTTTCTCCCACTGCTTGAAGTGGCCGAAAGAAATTGAAACGAAATTTGAGGTGTGAAATGATTCCGGTTTTTATTATTGTCACTCATGATACCAATTTTATTTTCTACAGGCAAAAAAATACACATGCTCAGGTCCTTTTCAAATTTTATTATACTATATGTACATGTTCCTTCAGAAAATTTAGTACATAGTTCACAGGAGTGTGTACTGCTGGCAGAAACTGATCAAAAGTCCTCACTTTGAAATTTCGTGACATTTTAATTTTTAATAAATCAGTTATGTTTTTCATAGACAACGCCCGATCATGCCCATATGTTTGCTGGGGCATTATCGTGACGGCGCTCATCTGATGTAATTTTTCATTCAATACATAAATATTTCGAATGCTTTCCTTGCCAGAATTGTTGCAAAGGGAATTTAGATCAATAAAGTTTTCTGGACAAATGTAGATTATTTTACTATCCATGCTAAAATTCAAGATTACACTCACCAGGGGTGTTTCGCAGGGAACCAGGGGCGATGTAAAGTAGGACATCAAAACTAAGAATATTTTTCTAATCGAATTTCGATTATTTCGATTTTTTAAATATTGAAATAATCAGGTTTCATTCTGTGAAAAAGGGGTATTTAACCTCTCGAATTACACTAACAATAAATTAACTCTCTAATTTTTTGAAGACTGAAATAAATGTGCGTGTATATGTATGTATGTAAACCTTTGGATGCCTCGCGGCACCTAAAAGTTGCCCTCTCCAATTTTGGGGCCTGTTAATGGAATCATTATTTCGCATCTTTGAACTCACGCTAACGTTCCAAAAGTTCAGGTCTATGAGAACTCCAGGTTTTGTCCGGAAAACTGTTAAAGTTCGTGCCTCACTCTCATATGTTATCAGCATACGTCGGATATGAATGAAAAATGAGTTTTTCCATTTATCGACCTACAGTCGCCAAACTTTCTGAGAATGTTTATGGTCACTAGTAGGTCACGTATGTCAAAACATATTTTCTCATATTGGTCATATTTTCGGGTTTTGGGACATATTCATATTCCTGATCATATTTCGGGGTTTTTTCGTTCATTTTATCATTTTTGACCAAATTCTAAGATTTGGCAACCAAATCGACAGAAAATGACAAGAAATTAAGTTTTCTCACAATGATGAGAAACTTTCAGAAATTTACGTTCACTTTCGCCTAAGGTGATATAATTCATTGGGAATGAATTAAATCACTCCAGAACTTGTTTAATTGATAGAAATTGAGCATTACAAGAAAATATATCAAAAATTAAGCCAAACATTCAAAAAATAGAGTCATTTTTGTTGTCATATTTTGGAGATTTTTAAGGTCATTTTTCATTCATATTTTGAGGTTTAATCATTCATTCATATCCGACATCTGGTTATCAGCAGCGCCTCAGCGCCCTGGGCAACTGTTCCCTCACGGGCCCAGTAAGAACTCCATGAATTAACTTATTTGTATATGTGCTCCGAAAAGCTTTTGGGATAAGAGATACATTTCTGTGAACTTTTAAACCTGTTTTTACAGTTTGCATATAAATTTGGACTAGTTTGGTTAACATCAATTTATTTCTGAATACAGGAATCCTTTGTGCGCCTTTGTATAAACAAGTACCTTAGGGCGCCCTCAGAATTTGACGTTCTGAGCAATTGCCCTCTTCCAAATTTCGGGGCCTGCCTGTAGATGACAATATTTGTTTGTCAAAAACTATGTGATGCAAAAAATTAAGCTAAAAAGTTTATCAAATAGTCCTCAGACCGTTTCACAACATTTTTTAGAAGTTTTTCTACTGACCATTCTATCTTCACGAATATAAGAAAATCATTTATTAATTTTCCCAAATGTCGTTTTTATCTAGTGTACAGCCGGGCGCCTCACGGCGCCCTTGAGGATTTGGCGCCCTAGGCAGTTGCCTAGGTCGCCTTACCCTTAAACGGGCCCTGACTGCAGCCCATGTTGGTAATTTCAAGGGTGAACTTTGTTAAAGTCAAAAATGTCAAGACTTTCTCGGCCCATTTGATGCCTTCATACAATTGCAGGACAAGCTTTGCACATTCTTTTTCATAAGAAGGATACGTTGCAAGAACCCAAGCTGCACAGCATGCACAGCTTGTTTAAGGACAAATAGTCTGATACATAAGTGTCAGGGTTTTTTGTCATGCAGAAAGAAATCCATGAAAAGCTTCTAATGCATTTGAGGTTGACTAAATAAAAATCGAAACGTTCATAAAGGTTTTTAAAATTTCAGATTTTAATGTGATTCTAATGTGTATATGGAAAATGGAAAAATTGAGTAATAATCTTTATTATGAACAACGAAGTACTTTATCCTGATGAAAGGAAATATTTATAAGAAAGTATTAATGATGGTCGGATGTAGTATCAAATTATGATACATTGATTTCCCATTTTTGAATTCATTATTTTTTTTGAAATCATGCTCATAATTGTTATGCTGCATCATTTATATTTAAAGTTTTAATTGCCATGTCCTCACTTTCTGCTATCACCCAAATTGTCAATTATATCTAGTGCTTAGCGGGGCGCCTCGCGGCGCCCCCTCAAATTCTTGCGCCCCGGGCAATAGCCCTGCTTGCCCACCCCCGGTTTAGGGCCTGGAGGCGATAATGTAAATACTTGTTATGCATATAATACCAAAGCAATATAAGAATAAACACCTAAAATCGGTTTTGAAATTTTGTAGTACTGCGGTTCAGAAAATGATGAATTGAGAAACAGACATATAACGTATACATACTTAAGCTCAAGATCTGGCTGGAAAACTGATTTAAGACTGAAACAATTAAATAGAAATGTAGAAAATTTAGTTTAACTTTAGCTGGAAAAACACTATAATGTTCAGACGTATTTATATCTGAGTTGCACTTAAGAGCCTCGATATCAATATTCATGTCACCAGCGGTTTATTATATGTGCTTAATAATTTTTAACAATCGTCAGGTTTTTGCGCCCTCTGAAGCCGAAGGACAATATTCCTTTAGAAATTTGGGGATGGAGGTCACTAAATACATCGGCTGAGACTACTGGATTGATGTCCTTGTCCTTTGGATTATCACACGAACCCAATCATGGAAATTGGAAGATTATTGCAACCGGAAGAGATATATCTGGATTTGCCGAGTTTGAAGTAAAACAATACGTGTTGCCAAAATTCAAATTGAATGTTCGTGTCAACCAAAACTTTGTTACCATATCATCGAGTGACCTTGTTTTGGATATTGATTTGAAATATACTTACGGCAAGCCAGTCCTCGCAATATGCACGATTCAAGCTCTGGTACGTACATAACTAATGCAGCCATATGAAAACATCTTAATGGTATTTCACAAACTAAACAAATAAAAATCTTATTATTATTATATTTATTGTGATTAGGTCAGCCCGAGGTGTCCCGATAAGATTCAGAATTTCACTATAATGACAAATGTCACAACAAGCTTGACCTTGGACCTCAAGAAAGGCTTAGCAAATGTATGGGACACTCTATTTGAATATTATCCAATCCCAACAAAAATATCTACCATATGCACTGAAACAGCGACAGGATACGTCCAAAACCTAACCACCTGGTTACCAATGTATAAACATTTGCACACCTTGGTTGTCCAGGATAGACCCGAAATTGCACTAGCTGAGCATCCTTACGAAGTCGGAATTGAAGTTATCTGGCGTAACGGGAGCTGTATTAGTAACCTTAATTTAGACGCCATTACAGTACAAAGGATTAATGCATAAACAAGGTCCCAAAAAATGGGAAATCTTAGTGAGTCAGTGCAATCTCAACTAAGAAATTAAATTAGATTGCAGAATTTTTGAATCACCGCTCTCAGCAATATATATTAATAATGAGATGTATTTCTAAAATATAATGGTCCATTATATTTGATGTCAGTTAAGTAAGCACACTTCTCTTTCACTAGTAAAAACGCATTAAATTCTCAATTAATTTTGGAGAATTCATGCTTATGCAAAGAAAAATTTACAGTGCATCCAGTGAAGATGATATTGAGAGCGGTGATGCAAAAATTCTGCAATCTAATTTTATTTCTTAGTTGAGATTGCACTGACTCACTAAGATTTCCCATTTTTTGGGACCTTGTTTATTTATAACTTGTAATTGGGTTGTCAACGACATTATTGCACCACAGCACCCCCATTATATTTGCCAAGAGTAATTTTACTAAATTTTTAGTTTTCAAAATTGAATAGCGTCGTGATTTCTTAACCGATTTCGGTCAACTTGGTCTTAAAATGATCCGAAGGAATCAGTGTCACCTTTTCCAATAATTTAGAATACGGCGATGCTCCAAAACTGAATTGTGGATACAAATGTGACTCCGAGTGCAAATTTTTGTCCGTTTTCTCCAATAACTTGAGTAAAACTCCAAATTTCTCTTAGTCGGATCAGAAATCGTTTTCACATCCTGTAGCAATAATCTGTGCAAAATTTCATCGAAATCGGTTGAGAAATGGCCGAGATGTATAATTATTTCACTTTTTTGGGGTGGGGTAAATGCATACTTAGTAAATTTTTTTCGTTGTTAGGTATTTGCCTCACTAAGAAAAACCAATTGCGCCATTACGGAAAATAATTAACGGGGTCTTCAAATTCTGGATAGTTGCCCCAGCTGTGAATACGACATATAGGAGAGAAGATGTGGATTTGATTTTGTTTGAGCTCAATGGGGTCAATGTGCTTACGGAAACAAAAATTCTAACAGATGTTAACAAATATGGTAAAGAAATGAACATCTCAACTGGATTGTCATGGGTAATACAGTATAGTTTTCCAATAACCGCCTGCTTCTAAATGAAATTTATGAAAAAATACAGACAATCAACGACAGAAGAATGACAGTCAAAGTAGTTACTACGAGTCCCGTACATCACACAAACGTAATTCTTATATCCCAAGGTGCCGTACTTGGATATCGCTATTCCCAGTTTAGGGTACCACTCATGGAGATAACAGTTACTTTGGAAATTCCACTCTTCGTAACATATCACAAAGTAGAAATTTTGGCATATACAGTCTCTGACGGGAGTTTGGTATCCAATAAATTTCATCTCACAGTTCCTAACCCTGATGTTAAAATTCATTTAAATGCAAATGCTACTCAGCCAGGAGCAACATTAGAAATTATGGCTACAGGTATGAGTTTAAAAAAATTAAATGCCTGAAAGCTATATGTCATTAGCTCTACCTTTTAGCATGATACCCATAGGCTTCCAGGATGATAGCAGATCCATATTCGGTGTCAGGGCTATTGACACATCATTGCTGATAGCTACAGAGGATGTGGATTTGGCACATTCCTGGATTCATGAAAAATTGGAATATAAAAAGAGAGCAGATTCTGAGTATAAGAGCATCTACTCGTCGTTTACATTTCAAAATTTTGTTAACTCGGATACACGAATTATCACCATTGCCTTTGTCGATACTGCGACAAGGACCTATAGATCCTACCATGAAAGGGATTTCCAGACTAAGTCAGATATTCATATCAGAAAACATTTTCCGGAAACATGGATATGGCAGGAAATGGAGAGTACTAACGGGACAATCAAGTTCAATAAAACTGTCCCAGATACAATCACTTCCTGGAAACTTCCAGCTTTTAAATTGCATACGGAATACGGACTCCGGATCACAACCTACCCTAAGATATTAACTGTTTTCAAGCCATTCTTTATTCGTTTTATCTGTCCACATTCAGTGGTAAAAGGAGAAGAGCTGATTCTAAGGGTTAGAGAAATTGCTCATTTTAAGGTTATTTGATGGTTTAAGATACTTTGTCAAAAAAATTATTAATTCCAACAGATTGTCGTGCAAAGCTATCTCGATGAACCGGTGAATGCCACAGTGACCCTAAACAATCCCAATCAATATTTCAGGTTTCTTGAAATAGGTGGAGAACAAGCCTACCGAACAAAATTTGTAGCTGTTAACGTATCTTCTATTGCTACGCTGGCCTTCAGAATTGGTTACGTGCATCACGGTAACTTTGAGTTAGAAGCAAGTGCTGTTACACCTACCGCCGTTGACTCATTGAAACAAAAGATAGTTTTTAAACATGCAGGTAGGTGAAAATATGAAATGTTGTATTTTTTATAAACATGTCCAACATAAAATCTATAAACATATGCACCCGTACTATAGGAATCAAGCACACAAATTCCAAAGTACTTATCAAACCTCAATCTAAACGAGAAATATATTCGCGACAGAAAATGAATGCCAGTTTTCCATCTGACCTAATTGCCGAATCCGAAGAAATTAAAATAACCCTTACGCAAGACTTCCTCAGTACTACACTAGAAAATCTAGAAACATTGATTCAAATACCAATTGGATGTGGTGAGCAGAACATGGTTAAGTTTGTGCCTGACCTGGTAATTCTAGAATACCTGGAAGTCAGCGGCAGCATCACGACAAGTCTTAAGGCAGCAATTTTAAACTACTTGGAACTAGGTTACCAGCAGCAACTTTCTTATTTTAAGTGAGTCAGTTTTATGCAAGAAAATGAATAATTTTGCCTAAAGTCATATTTGTAAAATATTTTTAATTTACTGCAGTAAAGACGGTTCATTTTCAGCCTTCCAATTTGAAGAGATTGGATCAACATGGTTGACTGCATTTGTGACTAGAGCGTTTTTGCAGGCAAAGAAATACATTACTATAGATCAATACATCCTCAAAGAATCCGTGGATTTTCTTCTTGGCAAGCAGCAGCAAGATGGCTCATTTCAGGAGGATGGATTTGTGCACGATCGATCCTTGTTGGGTGGTGCAGGTAAATTAATTACATACATAGTGGAGTCGTAATTGCCCGCACAAACATTTATGCTGATATATCACGAAGTACTGCAGCTATTTATTCGAAATTTTTATGAATGAACAAGGTATTAATATGGTTTAGAAATCATAACTTTTTTTTGAAAATTTCCTCCACGGGCTTATACAGAAGACATAAGTCATGACGAAAACTGATCGATCGCGGCACGCACGTTTTTCATGGGAACAACGACCAGATCTTTAGTAAGTATGACTTTAGGCCTTCCACACTTGTGTGAGATTTAGAACATACTTGCATCTATAATTTTGACCACCAGTCATAATTTAGAGGATTAAGGTCTCCAGATGCTGAGCACCGTTCTAGGGATGAAAAAAAGTAAAAAAAATCGTCTGAAGCCAGTTTTGGACACTTTTGCACCTTGTGCAGGACCAGAGTCTTGTTGAAAGGTCCGATGTTGATTATCGGAAGGTTCAGGGTTCTGGTTATCCACTTTGGGCTCTAGGACACTCTGAAAATAATTCTTGGCTCGAACTTGCACCCTTTGCGGTAAAAAACAGAGATTTGCTTTCTCCAGCCAACTTTCTCCCATTCACAGCATGGTGATGACTTTTTATTGACTTCCGCATACCTAAGTGGATGTCAGACTTCCGTAGAGCAAATATCCGAGCATTTGTTTTTTAAATTTTTCTGCAACGGTCAAAATCTTCTCATCCGTGAAGAGAAAACTCGATAGCTTTTGCCTGCGTACCGTGTAAGAAGCATCTTGCTGCAATTGACTCTATTTTTCCTTTGCTTGTTATTTGTCATGTGCCAGGTGCCCCATCGTATAGCCTTAACCCTAAGGTCATTCATTAGTGCCCTCTTGATGGATGATTTGGATTCATTAATTTGCAGACCCAACGTCAACGTGCATTTCGCCTAATTCGGACTTTCCATGCTTTCACCATGGCTGGTTACCGAACGGATCGAAGTCGAGCAGATCTCTTCTGGTCATCAGTACCACCAGTATCCTTCTAACGTTCGGCCATGTCGTTAACCTTCTGGCATTTTGCTCCAGAGTTCTGCAAAATTTTAAAATCTCCCATATTTTTTTTCTTCGGATGTGTTACAAAAAAATTCCAGACGTCTTTGTGGATTTGCTCGCCATTTCACCAATTCTTCATATTATTCAAAACTTTTATAGTATGTTATTAAGCACAGTGTGGGCAATCAGCGGCAATACAAAAACTCGACCTCTGCAGTCTTTGGCGCCTTAATTTAAAGCGCGAACTCTTGTGCGGGGAATTATGACTCCACTGTGTAAACCCATACATATTGCATTACATGGTGTGAACATTAAAAGGAGGGACCCGACCACGAGAAGGTTTGTATATCGTCGTACTAATTCATAAAAGATCTAAGTGCAGTTGATGCTAAATTCAGAAAAAATCGCGCGATATATATGAAAAATCATTTTGGCAAGATTTAGCCATAAGTAAATACATACTTGCACATAGGTCTTTTTTACTTTTTTTCTGTGCGCTTAGGTCTTTTCTGAATAAAGCATCGACTTCACTTAGGTCTTTTATGAATTAGTAGGACGATATATTGTTTGCAATCGGACTCTCCTATATTCGCAGCATATCGGATTCAACATTGGAAAATTCAACAATTATTTATATTTGCAATAGTATCCACGAGTAACAAACTTGCCCTGACAGCACTTTCTCTACTTGCAATTGTTGATGCCCAAAGGAATATTATATCCACACGAAAACTGCCCACTTCAAATTACTTAACAAAGGGGATACAATACATTCTTCGTCAACCTCAAAATGCAACAACCCCATACACTGCAAATCTACTGACTTACTTTTTCCACTATATAAATCACCCTAACAAAGAAGATTATTATGAAATTTCGAGACGTATGTGGCACATGGAAAGCGGAAATATCTTCTGGGATCCCTATCAATCAACATATCAGGGACCCGTAACAGTAAAATCTGCAACCATTGAGGTGACTGCTTACGGTCTCTTAATTCAAGTGCTAAAGAAAGACAAGGTCCACAGTGAAAGTATAGCAAACTGGTTAATTTCGCAAAAAAATGCTCAAGGAGGTTTCCTGTCAACGCAAGATACAATAATGGGGATCACTGCCTTGGCGAAATACCACGAGTTTGCGAACATTTCCCACATTTCTAATACTGACTCACTCGTAAATGCTACAATTACTTGGGAAGGCGGTTCTCAAACTTATGCACTTGGTAGAAAAACAAAACAGGCGATTTACGAAACTGATTTGCCACGGACTGTTCGCAATGTTCGGGTTGAAACTGAAGGCAAAGGGGCATCTCAAGTCCAACTTAGCTGGTCGTATGATAGTGAAATTCCAACTACAAATGTCTCCTTCTCCCTTGACATTACGGTATAATTATTAGCAGATTGATTTTAAAACTATCTGATAAATACCAAGCTGTTGATGAGCCACAAATGAGTCGTTGACCACCTGGCCCAAAACTTATCAATTTTTTTAAATTTCCCTGGACACTAATTTTATCCGGGAATCAACAAATGCTTAAAATTTCAATTTGACGCCAGTTGACAACCATGTTTAAAATGTGGCGGTAATGTCACCAGTTATGAAACGGAGTATAGTGAATGCGTTGTAACGGTGAATTGAAGGGCAACTCATCTTCAACTAATTTGTAACTCATCGGCGACACGATCCCGTGCTAATAATTTAATTCCCGCAGGTGGAGAATTGCACGACGTTGCGAAATCTGGTGCTGAGGCCTTGTGCAGCCTATAATAAGGATAATTCATCGAACATGGTCGTGCTTGAAATGTACGCACCATCGGGCTACTCCTTCAACTCGCAAGAACTGAACTCCCTTCTTGATAGTAAACTCATTCAACGATATGAGCTTCGGGAAGACAGCAGCCGTCTTTTCATGTATTTCGCCAGCTTTCCAGGACGCATTGTAAAGTGCTTCGACCTAACGATTACTAAGGAATATGAGGTCTCGAAACATGTGGGAGGACAGGTAAAATTTATGATTACTACGACAACTCCCAACAGGCTGAGGTGATGTACACTATCCCCGAGACGGCTATGATTGTGGAGGAGTAACAGCATTTTTTGCCGGTCAGCTCGATTGTAGAGTTCACATATTAAATACTTATATCGGTTCGGTTGAATATTTAAGCGTTGCTGCTTCCTTAAATTCTTTTTTGGTTTAATTTTATCCAGTAAACGTAATATTACGTTGTTTAGTGATGATTAAATATTTGCTTGTTACTTGAAGAAATCCTGTAAATGAAATAAATATATGTAGACATAATGATGATTAGGTGACTGAAAGTTGATGCTTTAAAAAAATAGACGCATAAATACTTTTCGCCATAACAAGAAACACGCAGTTAATACTCCGATTTACTTTCATGAAAGTCCGCATGCAATTGTTGAATTAAGTTATAAATAAATGGAATACAAAACGGACCCTGTTATACAATTAAAAATATACAACGAATAAGTCAAGCTTAATAAAAAAAGATACGAATTCTAATGGTTTATTTACCCAGAGAGGAGCAATAATGAAAACCATAACTGTTCAGACACAAAAAAGTTTGATTTGGATAAGAGTCTCAGCATTTATAGATCAGGAGTGGGAGAAGCCCAAAGTTGGAAAAAATCGCCCCGTCTGCGATTTTTAGCTCAAAGACTATTCAATATTTTCGAAACCGGTTTTCCCTACAAGTGTCTTAATATTGTTCTCTAGAATCTTTTTCGACCGTTTTTCGAAATTCGCAAAACCAATTTGACGATACCTCAAGTAGAAATTCTATTTTCTTATTAAATTTTATGAATTATCGAATCGGTTACGCAATATACTCTATTTATGACATGTTGGGTATTATGGTAACATATGTATACTGTCAAGGCACCAAACCCCTATTTAAGATCTAGATTCGCGCAGTGTTGCTTCTTGACATTGCATAGCTCCAGGAATCTATTTGGTTTTGTACAAAATTCATCATTTCTTCATAATTTTGTAGGATCACCTGCCCATCATTAAGCTGTCCTTAACAATTCTGCGAAAACGAGGAATTATTCTAGCCGTGATAAATTCATATATCATTGGATAATCCTTAAAATAGGACTGTCAAATCAACATAGAAAAGGTGCATCGCTCTAGTCCATAGCTCGCAGGGGACCATTTGGTCCCTGGTCCCTGGTCCCTCGGGAACCAGGGACCATTTTTTTCGATGGTCCCCCGGGGACCAGGGACCAGGGACCATTTTTTCGATGGTCCCTCGGGGGCCAGGGATCAGGGACCATTTTTTTAGATGGTCCCTCGGGGACCAGGGACCATGGGGTGGGGGACCAATTAATTGCGAGCTATGCTCTAGTCACTTGCACATGCATTGAAGTGTTGAACGGGTAGTTGTACATATTTTTAAGCTGTTCATATGCAATGCATTTTGTATACAAATGGAGAATAATGGTTGAGGCTTGGCGTAAATAATTTGCATGTTATCATTTTTAGTGTGGTGAAATCGAGATATAGAGCGTTGGGTGCACTACACGTGCCAATTAATTAAGCAGGTCGTTCTTTTTCTCCTCGTCAGATGCACGAATCTCCTCATGCATTCATACGAAATTTACTAAATACAGTGATTTTCCGTGTTATTTACATATCCATGCAAATTTCTCAAATTCTTTTGCATTGTTTTGAATGTGTTTTGATGCTGCTTAGAAACTTGGGTGCTGATGAAACGTGTGGCTCGATTATAAATCAGACCTGTTCCCATTTGTGAATGAAACATTGGTGAATATAGAAATGAATATTCATTCACAACGTTATATTCATGAATATGAACACCTCTGTTATAAATATGTTCGTGTAAATGAAAAGCTCAATTATACCCATGCCGAAAATAATCACGGAAATGAAATACCTTTCCTTGACAATGTCAAGTTGACATAGATTTACATATAAATAACATATAAATAACCATCTAATTTTCGACTGATGCTGAACTCGATGGATTTGTTTTAAGCATCCATTTATTAAATTACCCGTTTTAAATAGGTACATCTAATTTCTACTTTTACCAATAAATTCAGCCAGCCAATTATGGCAACCGTTCTCACCAGGTGGAATTTGAGGAACTTGATCTCTTCCAGTACAAGTAACGAAACAATACAATCCAGTCCAATCAGGCGTTGAGTCGCCTTTAGTATTTGGCACGTACATAATTTCCAGTTGGACATCCGGATTTGAGGTATAATCAAAAGTATTCGAATAATTAGTGATTACTGGACGAGTGGCACGATTAATTTCACAAAATCTGAACCAGTACACAATTAGTTACTTTATTTGTTTACTAAACAAATATACGTAGATATGTATTTCTAGTTATCATACCTCAGAAAAATGCCACGTCTTCCTTGTAAATGGTCATAATTATCCCCACAGTTCGAAAAGGTAGTTGTCACCGTAGAACATGGACATTTCGCCTCTATGCGACAATTACTGGCCTAGTAAATAAAATGTGTGGATAAATGAGGACCATGCTAAATAAAAAAGGTTGGTACGAGTTTACCGAAGGTGGAGTAAAAAACGGAACGAAGCAAAAATTGGCTAAAACTTGTGTAAGGAAAATATGCAAACAATAGGTGGACAAATTTTACCCAATTGCTGTGTTAGCCTCCATTTAATTAAAGCGTGAGTGAATTTTGAAGAACTTTACATACAGGGTGGTTTAAATGTCAGGTTACAATGAAAAATTTTTCAATTGGAAAAATTCGCAAATATCCATTAGTTACCGAAATTTTGCCTGTGAAATTCAATATTTTAAGAATTTTGTCATCACTGTTCCATTAGTTTTGATAAAAATGAATAAAAATCTCAATCCCAAATCCGCAACTAATGGAAATTTACAAATTTTTCCCATTGAAATATTTTCCAGTGTAACCTGACATTTAAACCACCCTGTAGATTATATGATGCTTGGAAATATTTATGGACTACCAATAATGAGTATGCAAAATTTTATTTTAACGTACCTTGAATTTCCACGTCATAATTTGTCCGCGAGGTTTTGCAGTAGAGGAAACCGTTGTTGGTGAATCAGTAACAATGAACGGAGGAGTTGTCGTGGATGTACGTCCAGTTGGGGTATTTGTTGTCGTGTCGGTTGGATCCAGAATTATGTGTTCAAAATCTGTGGCCCGTCTTGACCTCATCCAGTAAGTTGAGGGTATCTATTTACACAGAAAATAATTTAGAGGTTACAAATCCGTAGAAATATTTATTAGGCTGTTGTATTCCCACGATTTGGAACATATTGCCAGGATGTATGACGGTATAAGTGCCAGATTCAAGGCGGTGAACTGCAGGGAATAATTTGAATTGTTGAATTTATAATTTATTTAATAAATAAAATATGCCATATTTACTCTTACTCCACGAGGGAACTGGAGATTGGATACGACTGGTTGTCATAGTTGGTGCAGTCGTCGTGGATTGGGTATGTGTTGGGGTATTTGTTGAAATTGTGGTTCCACTCGTAGGGGGTGGATCAGTTACGATAAAATCTTGTCTCTTGGAGCGTCTCAAAATTTCTACAAGGTTACAGTTACCCTAAAATCAAATAAAAACAAAGGTAAATTCTAGACCAATGAACAATGTAAGACAGCGGAATTTATTACCCCAAATATTGTCAAACAAATGAAAATTACTACGGGCAGAAATCGTCTATTCATTTTGACTGATATTTTAAAATTTGCGACAAACGGGTGTCTTACATATGTCTTAACATCCAAAGTACTACTGACACCGTAAATAGTAAAAAATGTACATTATAAAGATAAAGTAATATGCAAATGTACATAATTATTTAAGATGCATCATACATATCCAGCACACCACCGGGATATACATACAAGGTGTATTCGCAAGTACGAAATTATGATTGTGCACAAACTCGACAATAATCTTATTCTACGAATCTTGCTCTGTTCAATTTCAAGGACAATGCGACAAATAAATATGCTAATTGTGTCTCTCAAGTGATAATGTGAACCAGTTACAAACTTCATCCTTTATCACGTATTCATTGAACGATTAACTGAATTAATTCAGGGACACGCTTTCTCCCCGAATGCAGTAAAGATTTCTGAGAAAGGGGACGAAATTAAAATATGTTCGTGTACTTATTTTATACGTTGTGGCAAAAGAAACCAATTGACTAGGCATCATCACAATTTTGTGTGCAGGTATAACGAACCAAATGTACAGTTAACATTGACAATGCACACGTACTAAATTAATCATAATAACATAATAATATAATCATAATTTAACCCAATCATAATGTAACCCAATTCGTTTTCAGGTATGCAAGTACATATATGGCTAAATTAATTCCTCATTTTTAGCATACTGCAAAAATATTTCGGAAAAAATATTTGCATACCAACCAACTTATTGTCGAGGATTTTTATTGATGGGGTGACAAATGTGCAAAGACAAATGTGCAAACGACTAATGTGCAAAGACATTTGTGCAAACGATAAATGTGCAACCTGACAAATGTGCAGCCCGATAAATGTGCAAACGATAAATGTGCAGGAATTTTTCCAACAAATAGTGCAATATATCTTGATATAATTTACACTTCAAATCAAATTACATCTTATCAGAAAACTAAGAATTCTGAAACATTAATTTTGTGGTGAAGCTTATGAAGCTGGAGATCTTATAATGCAGATTTTATACTTATTAAATATTACTAATCATCATTATAACGGGGTTGACCCCTGTCAATTTTATAATAAAATTCCCGTGCCGAATCACTGTAATGCTAAATTTAGCTAGTGACAATTAAACTTTAGTTAGGGACACCCCGCGGGGACAGAATTTAAAATAACAGCAAATAAGTAAATCCCGAATTATTTCATTGAAATTTAGAATTTTTATATGTACATAATTCCAGCCTATACGATAGACTAAAATTCACGAATTCACGAAGATGTATGTACCAGGAAATTTATGCATTATAAAAATATAATTTAGTAAAATATTAAGTTAACAATAAATTAATACTGCTCATTATAAGATCTACAGCTTCAACAGACATCATAAGGGATGTCACCACAAAATTAATGTTTCAAATTTTAGTTTTTGAGGAGATGTAATTTGATTTTATGTTTAAATTATATCAAGATATATTGCACCATTTGTTGGAAAAATTCCTGCATATTTATCGGTTGCACATTTATCGTTTGCACATTTATCGGGCTGCACATTTGTCAGGTTGCACATTTATCGTTTGCACAAATGTCTTTGCACATTTGTCGTTTGCACATTTGTCTTTGCACATTGGTCGGGCCACCATTTTTATTTATCCATATATTTTTTTCAATTTGATTATGCAAGTAGCAAGAGTTAATTAATATTGTATACTTTCTGCACCAATATTTTGTCCTTTGGAGACCACGGGGGACGGGGAGGTAACCGAAAGCTACTTCTTTACATGGGGTGTGAAATCATGAAAGTGGCTGTTTAATTACACGAGCAAGGATGATGCAGTTGCAGAAGAGGTACAACTTGCTAAAATAGGTCAGGGCACATTCAAGAAATTTGTACTTGAACTGTATGAAATGTTTATTGCATTTTCAACTGTTAAACAAGCTTTGTGTGTAATATATGTAATTATTTGTTTAATTTACCTGTTTGAGTACCTGTCAAAGAACTACTCAGGCGAAAGGAACTCAAAAACTGCATGGTGGTGATTTTCCAAAGCTATCCCAAGCCCATATTTTAAGCATGTACGAGGGACCAGAAATAAACAGATGGAGGATATGTATTAAGAAATTTTTTATACCATATCAGATTGTACTAAAACTTCGTATACTGTCTCATACACAAATTAACGGTTTCTACAACACAGTCAGTATACACGCTCCATACTCTACAGCACGGAGAGTACACCGTTAAAATGTGTATAAGGCCGGGACAAGTTAAAGGGCGCGGATAATACATATTTTCGTACGTATTTTGAGGATTTTTCGTACATATATATATTTTCCTATATATCTCAAGTATTTTTCTAAATATAAATATTTTGGTAGATGTTTAGAAGTTCTTTATATAAAAATATTTTTCTTCATTAAGAAATTAAGGTTTCGTCAAAATTATTGTTCATAAATATAGTGGAAAACTTAAGTTAAAAAAAACATTTTATGTGCATATTTTCAGGTTTTTAAGCACATATTACATACATATTTTGCCGAATTAACATACACACATATGTATCCGCCCTACGCTCACATATAGTACATAATATGTATAGATTTACTATGCATGTTTATAAATAGGCCTTCTAAACACTGTTGAGATGACCAAGAAAATAATGCTTATATATTAATTAGAAGTTCGAATCTACCATATACTCGAATAAAATAACACAACTTTTAGACCTTTAGTATACTAATTAATTACCTATTAATGATCGTACATAACGTGTATGCAAGACACTGTCGCGGCGTTCTGTTAATACTTATGTATTAATGGTTTAAGAAACAGAGTTAGTGTTTCATAAAGTGACCTCCCGCCATAAGCTTTGCATGCAAGAAAGTGCCTTACTTAAAAAAATCAAACCATTGCTGTGAAGCTAGATAACTCTGGCGAATTAAGAAGCCCTTCTATCCTGAATTCGAGGATGATCGACTTAAATTATTTATGCTTCTAGCAAGTGGCCTTGGACTAAATAAGTTATCTCGTGCTTATATGTACGTATTCCTATGCTAATCTGTGTATCAAATGAAATAAATTAGAGTAGCAAAATAACAAGAGCACCGTATTTGAGGAGTTTATTTAAATGAGTCAACTGGAAGTCACCAGCTATAAGAATACATATCCATTAGCACATCCCTCCATCTCGCCATAAGTAGGGATGATATAGTTATCCAAAGAGTACATCATCAAAATAGTGATAATCTTAACATTTTTATGGGACGTTCGTAGCTGAATATCATATTTTTGTTTTTTCGTACTGCTAATTTTTGTTTTTTGGTCACCCACCCACCTACCAAGTTTTTAATAACACATTTTTCTTAGTGAGGCAAATACCTAACAACGAACAAAATTTGTTAGTAAACAATTTTTTTAAATTATTAAATGAGTTTTTAAGTGAGAAGTTACTTAAGAACTATTTACTGAATTATTTTGAAGCCTAACATAATGCAACTGCTATCCCTAACTACTTTGCAATGCTCCGAATTAAGGTAAGCGTTGAAATTTAAATATTTGAACTAATTCTTCTGCGATGCAAAATTCTACTTGACAAAATTTCATACCATCAGTTCACAGACACATTTATTTAAAACTTTGCTACGATTATGTATATCATTTCTTTATAGACGGGCATACAAGATACTTATATACATTTACAGTATTCAACAATAACCACCGCTACAATGTAGCAAATAAATTATGAAAATCTACAATTCATGCCAGTTGTTATATCCATAAAGTTTCATACATACATCGGAGTAAATTGGTCAATTAAGCAAATACGTTTCTAGATTTAGTTCGGCACAATGAAGTTGGGCATTGTGCTTGGAAACGTTTCTCCAATTGAGATACATGGTGAACATTTATTCTCTATTCATCGTCATGGCAGCGACACGTACGCAAAGCTATTCATCCATAGAATCAAGAAAGTGGGACCTGTATTATGTACATATTCAGCCGTCTCGTTGGATAAAAACTGGACTAAGAATTTGTGCAGGAGTCCGCTAAAATATTTCAATGCTTGCACCCATATATGTATGTACTACAGATATTTGCATGGTTAAAGAAAATTCAGTTATGGGCATTGTTTTCTCTGGATTTAGTATAATTTACTTAATATGGAATGCAGATCGCATATAATTTTCAGAAGGGTAATTTTAGTTTTACATATGTAAGTGTGCAATTATTAGTGACACTCGTATATTTACATATGTACGTACATACGTAGGTACTGTGTGATTGAAGACTTGGTTATCGGTTAGAATGAATTATTTATCGTTTTTGTACGTCATTTTTTACCTAAATCTTTGCAGGTTATTTTCGTCCGCTTCGCTAACAGTATTTTCTACATGTGTTGCTCAAGTAACAGTAAATCTTGAAAATGGGGGTTTAGAATGGATCTACTATTCAAATTTGACGAAATCTCTACAAACTTCAGTTATTCTAAGGACACACAATACTCTCCGTGAGAATCCAGAGATAAACGGTAATTTTGAATTTTCAACTTGTGTAAATATTTACATATTTAGTAGAAAATTGCATTGAATAAATATCAGATCCAGTGTTCTGATATTTAAAAACTTTGTTACGATAAGAATTGAAGTCTCCCAGCTCCAAGATTTTTACCAAATTAGTGGCACTCGATCACAAATGGGGGAAGTATTTGCATCTAATGGTAAGGAGGAGAATAGCGCTTTAAAGTTGACCTATCTTGCACTTTCTGAATTTGCTGGTTGCTTTCAAACGTGCGCATTTGAAGATGGTGTTATTCGCAAATTTTATACTTTTGCTCGGCCGAGAGTTATTAGTTCAAAATCGGAGAGTATACGCTGGAAGACATCTACGTACTGTAATGATTTTCAATATTTTCAGGAAATCCCGCATTGTACGATGACGCTAAAAGGTTTGCCATTCACCGACAAACCTACACCACCTGTTTCGTCAAATTTTATTTTCTGCTTCATCCCGAGATTGATGTGAGCGTTGGTCAACCCTGGAAGAATATATTCTTTAGTGAAAACCT